TATGAGATGGAGGAAGGCTTCTGCTCCTCTAGAAAAGTTAGAACATCCAAGCCAACCAAGGCAGCATCTACATATATCTTGTTTTGCTGGTATCTGAAACCCACCAAAGGAGTGTTTTCTGCTGGAAAATTCCAAAGGTACAGCTATAAATTGCATGCTATAGAAGTGTTTATTTTCCTGCTGATTTTAGACTGAGTGGGACTGTTGCAGTATGCAAGATGGCATTCCTCATATAGAACACAGACAGTATACACTATATGTGTGGATTCTAGTCAATAGAAAAACATGTAGAATGGCTATGATCATTTATCTATCTTTAATATATTCGCGAAGGCTATCTTTACTCACATTTTTTTGACATTTAAAAATTATTTGGACTTTGTGCTATGTGAGTTTTGCTTTCTCACAGGACTTGAATACTAGAAGTGTAAGGGTGTCATTTCATGAGGGCCAAAGAGCCAAACTGCATAACTAATCTGATATCTTCCATGAAGCCAGTTTATGGGGATTGGAAGAACAATGATATGGGGATTGGAAGAACAATGAGCCTTGGTATCATAGAGCTATTATCCCATGAGGGACTGAGTAATCAGAGAAAAAAATAGATATGAAATAAGAGGGAGCTAGATATGTTTGTCTTTATTTCCAAGTTCTGGAAATAGGGGAATCGAATGTCAAATGGTAAAGTCAAGGTTCCACAGAACTGTGATGTAGTGGGATTGACCCTCATGTTCCTTGCAATACATTCACTTCCTCCTGGCTTTCCCTATAAGTAGGAGAGGCTGAATAAACCTTGGCCACCTCCTTTTCATGATCTGTTTATCATGATACCCAAATCAAGGCTGCTGGCTTGTCCCTTCCTAAACAAGGGACAGTGGGAAGTCATGATTTATTGTTGATCTGTGTATCTGTCTTGTTTTGGGTTGGGTGGGCATAAGCCAGAATCCATAGTTCAAGATCTCATTTTAAGTAAACCACAGAGAAAAATCTGTTGTTTGTTAGCTACCCTAGCAGCAGCAGGAGCCAAACTGAAGTGGTTGGGCAGCGTGCAATAGGATGCTTGCTCAACTGCTTTTCACTTGGGTATCATTTTCAATGAGGAGTTTAACAACACACTGGTGCCATCCTAGTTTTCTACACAACTGTGACTTGAGCAAGAGCCTATGTGCCCTTGATTTAACTGGTGACAGCAGAAGAGCCACCGGGCTTTATATAATTTCTTCTGTTATTCATTCATTCGTTCATTCACTATTTATTTATTTATTTTAAAATATTTTTACCCCGCCTTTCTCCTTAAGAGGACCCAGGGTGGCTTACATCATTAAAAGACAATATTTAAGCTAATAACAGTGAGTATACAAATACTAAAAACAGGTCAAACAAATACCGTATTAAAAAAAAATAAGCAATATCAAAACACATTCAAAGCAGCAAGGTACAACAATGCATTAAAAAAAAAAAATTCAAAGCAGCAAGATACAACAATCCATTAAAAAAAAAAACCCCACTCAGGCAGTCAGCCACTCGGGGAAAGCCCGCTTGAAGAAATGCAGTCCTTGAAATATCTCGGGCCCAAGCCATTTAAGGGCTTCATAGGTTAGAACCAATGCCTTGAGTGATTGTAATTTTTCAGATATGAGGGGACTTTTCTGAGGGTTTGTGCGCAGGGAGGATGAAATAGCCGTGCGCCACAGAATACTATTTTGAAAACTCCTGACTACTCCCTTGGCCATGTGAGGGGATGTGTCATGGCATTTTTATGACAAGGTTCCAAGTAAAGTGATAACATTTTGCAAACAAAGTGAGTCATCTTGTCATTTCGAGATAGAAAGATTATTTCCTACACCATGTAACAAAATGTTTCTCTGAGACAATCAGTCTCTGCTAGGGATTCAATGACGTATGCATTTTGTTCACATCACTTCATCGTGCCTATTTGTAATGCAAAACTGTGAAATCTAGTTTGTATGAGCAGTTACCATGGCTGCGCATCCAACACCCAAGTGGCTTGAAGGGCAGGTAAGAAAGCATTCTTTTTTCATGCAACCACTTGATGGTAGCTAGAAGCCTTTGGAACAGATTTGATTCAAAATAGTATGTGTGAATGTATTTAAAAATAAATCTTGTAGTAGAGTCACTTAGCCAGACAAGAAACACAATTTAACTATTTGCGAGATAAAAACACACACAACACAACCAATAACTCACCAGAAACTCTCTATGGTGAGAATAAACTGGTGGTATTTTATCCCACGGTGACATCAGATATTATTCATGCCTCTGCTTCCCTGGAATTGAGACAAATATTTTAATAAGTCTGAAACCAGTGGGTTTGGGTGGGGGGAATAAAAATGTACAATTGTGTTTTGGGATTCCCATGCACAATTAAATCCAAGAAGTTGAAGTTAATTTCTCAGCTCTCCAGGCTACAACAGCTAGCCCAGATAATGTTGGCACTTCTTCGGTTCCCCCCACCCCACCCTCACTTCAAGCCTTCCGATGCCCACCTGATAAAAGAGCCATGAGGGCTTGACATCTCACCTTTTGGGACAGCCTAATATTTTAATCCAACCTTGATCCTGGATTTTGCTTGTGGATGACACAGTTATGTGCCCACAATTTCTTAGAGCCTTCTGTATTCCCTAGTATCAGCGTACTGTATGTTTCCGGGCAGAACCTTCCCATCAAAGCGAAAATGTAAAGAGATGATTTGAAAGATCATTCCAAGCCTTAGCATTCAGAATCTGATATAAAATGCTCACGAACAAACTGTAAGACGGTTGTTGTGGGTTTTTCGGGCTCTTTGGCCGTGTTCTGAAGGTTGTTCTTCCTAACGTTTGGCCAGTCTCTGTGGCCGGCCTCTTCAGAGGACAGCACTGAAGATGTCCTCTGAAGAGGCCGGCCACAGAGACTGGCAAAACGTTAGGAAGAACAACCTTCAGAACACGGCCAAAGAGCCTGAAAAACCCACAACAACCATTAGATCCCAGCCGTGAAACTGTAAAATATTTAGCAATATCAGGATGGCCTCAGTCACACACATTGACCGTGTTAGGATTAATGGAATCTAGGCTTGTTTTTCATTTATTTATTTGGTATACTACCTTTCCCCCATAGGTTGCCTTGTATGTTCATGTACAGCCCTGAAATAGATATGACACAGGGAGTTTTCTCTTTGCTATCAGTAATGCCTCATTGCATCTCGGTTTTATTTAGGTACTAAACAGTGGTTCAAAGCCTTGGGTCACCTAGGTGTTCTCTGACTGCAGCTTCATCACTAGCTGTGCTGGTCTGGGGTTTTGGGCGTTGGAGTCCAAGAACGCCTGAATGACCCAAGGTTGGGAGCCATTGTATTAAAGCAACATTCTTGGTTCCATTCCCTTAACTCTGAGATACAGTTTAGACTTGGCAGCGCAATCATACTCCAAAGCATGGACTCTGCAACAAGGGATGGAAACTCTTCAGACAAAGCATCCAGTGTTGTGTCTGAAGCAGCCTAGTTTAGGGCAGTGCAGGACAGGCAGTGTGGCACACATCTGCCTCCAAGCACCTGCTGCCTGAGATGATAAGAGACTTAACCTTATTCACTGTGGGCTGTCAGTTCCTTAACTGCCTAATTTCATGCAGCACTCGTGTCATCCAGCTCTCTGGATGTTGCAGGACCACTCTTGGTTCCTGGACTATTATTCTCCTGGTGTGTGTGTGTGTGTGTGTGTGTGTGTGTGTGTGTGTACCTGTGTGTATTTGTGTGCTTGGGGGGGCAGAGAGGATGAGAGAAGAGCTGCATATATTAATAATTGTGCAAAGTTGCTTGCTTAGCCCACTGTTGGCTCCTACAGGGCAATAGCCCTTCACAGCTAAAATATTCTTCACCTTTGTTCCTTGTCATGTTTCTCCCTTGTCTGAGATGAGATGTGTGTGGATACTGTTCAGAGAGTTAGGACTTTTTAGGACTAGTATCTGGGTCAGCATCGTTAAGCCTGGGTCTTTGGACCATTAGAAATATGAAGCTCTGCTTCCTATGAAATGTACTCTCCTGTCAAATGGTAGCACAATTTATGGCTTCTGAAAAGATGTGAATAGCATGCATGTGGTGTAATCATTGTTTGATAGAGGAGCATACACATTCTGAAATGCGGAAAGAATTAGTATTGTGAGATTAAGTTCCTGTTCCTCAGAGAAATCTGGCCAGTTGGTGGTACCTCTCTTATTATCTGTACTAGGTCCAGAAATTTATCATTTTTCTTCCTCACAATATTTCAAATACCTATACTTCATGTCTCTCAAAGATATCAGGATGGTATTATTTCACACAATATAAATTGTAACCCATGCCCTACATAAAACAGGAATCATATGCACTTGTCAGCCAACAGATGAGACATGCAATTATAATTTTTCTACCATAAAACCCATTTAATCAATTAATATTTCACTGTAGAATAAACTGAAAGCTGCTGTGTAAAGAAATGCAGGAACAGATTTTTTAGGAAGAGAAATCCATAATACTAAGAGTCACTTCAGAGCAGGCTCTGCATCAAATACTAACTATGCAGGATATATAGATACCACTCAAAAGATGTCTAAGAAGAGAGACTGCCCCTCATCTATGTTCTCTCCCAGGATCCAAACCTGGACAGGAACTAGAAGGATAGTGGGTCCAATCACCATATTGTAGGATATTAATTTATTTAAAATTAATTTTTAAAAGGGTGGTCTTGCCCTTTGGCCCAAATAAATTTCTTTTCGCAAGCACATTCTTAATAACGGGGCAACAAGGAGAAAGACAACAAGGGATGCCCCTGACAGCTAGAGAGACTTGAGAAATAGGATAACTGTGGCTTTGTCACCCATCAGAAAGGAAATAGTTTCAGCTGCAGGAAGGAAATGCATTTAAGCAGCAAAGTAAAAAAAAAATTGTAAAGATTTCCATTAAGCTTAGGTTAGGTAATTGTGGTGAAACACAGTAGTGCTGAAGATAATTTGTATTTTTCCTCTAGCTGAGCAAAGTTGAGATAATCCTCAACATGATTTCTGGATCCAGCAAACAAAGAAGGAAAATTCTGAGGCATGTGACTTTATCACAGGGTAAGTGGGATAAAACAATCTTTTTAAATCGCAGAAAATGGGTAAACTGTATGGGCCTTGACTACATGCTGCATGTTCACTCCTCTTTTCACACATTCAAAACTTAAAAATAAGTTTTAAATTATTTAGGTTTCAATCTAATTACCTTATATAATGATAATCATGTCCCATCAAGTCGATTCTGACATACGCAACCCTTGTTAGAGTTTTTGAGGTAGAGAATATTCATACTTCTTCTAGAAGCATCCTGGGACGGTGCAGCTGGCCCAAAGCCACCCAGGCTGGCTCTTCTGGGGTGCCCAGTAGGGAATTGAGCTCCCAACCTCCTAATTCACCGAGCTATCCAGCCAACAGCATCTAATAGTATACAAATTCTAATTTTAAAATAAACTTAATATAAAACAATACAAAATAAGTATTATAGGAATAATGATTCAAATTAATTACAGATATTACTTATAGCTCAGATGAGGATTTCATAAACATAATGTGTGTGTGTGGGGGAGGGAAGGCTGCCACCCAGATCCAAGGCTATGGCATAGCTGTGTTATAAACCATGAGAAGGGGATTTCAGTGTAGTCTGGTACACTGCAAGGGACGTGGTGGCGCTGCGGGCTAAACCGCAGAAGCCTGTGCTGCAGGGTCAGAAGACCAAGCAGTTGTAAGATCGAATCCACGCGACGGAGTGAGCTCCCGTTGCTTGTCCCAGCTCCCGCCAACCTAGCGGTTCGAAAGCATGCAAATGCAAGTAGATAAACAGGGACCACCTCGGTGGGAAGGTAACAGCGTTCCGTGTCTAAGTTGCACTGGCCATGTGCCCACGGAAGATTGTCTTCGGACAAACGCTGGCTCTATGGCTTGGAAACGGGGATGAGGACCGCCCCCTAGAGTTGAACACAACTGGACAAAAATTGTCAAGGGGAACCTTTACCTTTACCTACCTGGTAGTTTCAGTAGAGTCCTTCCCTAAAATCCAGCAAATTTTTAAGATAGTGGTTCCCAACCTGGGGTCCTTGGACAGCAACTCCCAGAAATCCTGGCCAGCCTGGCTAAGTGGCGAAGGCTTCTGGGACGTTTCCTTCAAGATCATCTGGGGACTCAAGGTTGGGAACCAGTGTGCTAGGGCACAAGCTTCCAGAAGAAATTCTGAGCATGTGGTTTCTTAATAGCACAATAAGCTATTTTATACGGTCACATCATCCATCCATTCAGTTCAGTGTCATGACGATGATGCTGACCAGGTCTCCTTTCTCGGTTATCATGTCAGTGTCTTCCCCAGCCATACTTGGTGATTCCAGTGATGGAAAAGCTGACTCTCTCCATACGGAGCCTCTTCTATGACGCCCTTTCCCCAAGTTAAAAATGTAAACAATTCAGTTGTGTCTAACAGTCCCGGCGTGTGCTGTAACCAAAGATCTGCACATTCAGGTTGCATTATCTCACCTACCCCCAAGATACATATATACATTTCCAATGTATATCTCAGAAGTTGGATATGTCGCCTCTGGAAAAAGCATGACAAACAGGTGCTCAGGATAGCCTCATTGTCACATAAATAACACGTAGGCAACTGGGTTTCCAGAGGGTATTTGCAAAGATCTAATCAACGCCCTTATGATAATGAATTTGAAATATAGGTACATGTACATAGATACAATCAGCTTGAATACAGGAGCTGATTTAAAACCTAGGTCACGGAACTCGGCTGTCTGATCCAGCGAGAAAACCACCCTGATTTAAGGGTAGTTTTAAACTATCCGTTTACAGAATATACCCTTCATTAGAGTCTGCCATATTTAATATGTCAAATATTAAATTTACACTTGTAACCACAGAGCTGGTGTATTTTGTTTCTGTTGCTATTTGGGAGCTGCTTTGAAGTTCAGCAAAATGTCACTGACAGTGCATTTTCACTTTACGATCAAAGCACTTTCAGAGTGACATGCCTGCAATTCTGTGAGAACAAAGGGGCGGTTCTCCTGACCCATACTTGGCCTCTGTGTACACCTTTCACTATGTCTCAACCTCACCCACGTTGCACGATGCAATCATATAAATCTTCAACTTTAAGCATCAGGGACATAATGCCAGACCTTGCTGGCGAATACACTGCCTTACCTTTAACTGCATGATTTTGATTTTGGTTTTTGACAAGCAGTTTTTAGGATCTTCGCTCTCAGGTAAGCCACCTTTCAGTCTGTTTCTAACTGATGCTGCTCACTCTTTTCAGCTGTATTTCCTTGTGTATATACCAAGTTGGTAGACTTGATAGTGAAGAAGGGAGTGCAGAGAAGAACAATGATTATATGAAAGAAAACATTTCATATTTTTCTTGCAGAATCAGGGTCCGTAAAGCAGCAGTAAGAAAGTAGAACCATCTTTCAAAAAACCATCATTTTCTGATTGTATTTATACAGTAAGTATAAGTCACCTTTTGATGCTGTATCACACCAGTTAGAAGGAACAGCAAAGGTGCTGCCTTTTAACTGTGTTGACATGTTCCTGTGCTCTGCGATGCAAATATACTAGTCTTTTGAGTGAGAAAGTTGAACGTAGGTTCCAGTGCATGCTCTTCCATTCACAAAGCTTCTGTGATGTCATGACTCAGTTTCAAAATATGGATTGTGATTTTCCTACCATACAGTTTTCTATTGATTGTTATCCTATATCATCTATGGAGTATATTATTATTACTTATTTATATGTTTGTACATATATATGTATGTGTGTGGAGAGAGAAATTTACAAAGTATAAATACTACCCCACAAGTACATAATGCAAGGTATAAAATAACAAAAACAATTAACTGGAAACTGCTAATCTTCTAAATAAATCTAAAAACATAACTTAGCCAAGGACAGGAATAGTTATTTTAGTCCTTCCTGAGATTGCAGTGGTATACATACTTACCCATGGGAAATCTCCCTGAAGGCAAGTTTAGCTTACATCTGAGTAGACATGCATAGAATTGAATAATCAGTTTCACAAGATATTTTAAAGGCCACAACCTTTTAACTTTGAAAAGTGGTAGGTGAAAAAGAAGGTTGGAATCCTTTTTCATTTTGCCCTTCTTAAGTATCATATTTCAGGCTTTTGTTTACTAACCTGATGGACGTAATGGTCAAACTTTGCTCTTATATCCTGTAAGTGGTGTGGAGTTGTTTATGTCCAGTCGTCCCTCAAGCCTGAGTAAAACAGAATTTTCCATAGGTTGTTACTAAACCGTCATCACTTGCAGGAAAACAATAACAGCACCCACCACTTCCCAGACTGTGGTGAACTCATGGGACTTTGTGGGGGCAGAAATGGGAACTTCGTGATCGCAAAAATAAATAAAGAAAACTAAAATAAACTAAAGAAAAATAAAGAAAACCTTGCTGCCGTATCATCGGCCACTGCCTTGGCTTTCTCCTGTTGTGGCCTTCAATATTACCATATGGAAGATAATTATGTGTGCTGGCCCTTCTCTTGGGCAACCACTGTAGGAAGGAACAGGTCGCTCTCAAATGCTACAACCAGGTTACAGAAATGCCCGTTTTCTAATGTAGTCTATGAACCTGGGTTAAGTGGTATGGAGAAATTCACCTTGTTCATGCGAGATCTTGACATAAATAATTAATTGCTGTTGTAAGTGTGCCTCCAAAGGTCTTTCAGGGCTAGAGCAAAAGTGCCTGATGGGTTTCCTGAAGGTCATCGCTGAGATTGATTTAATCATCCTAGTACCTGTACTAAAAATAGCCGGAAACTGGTATAAACTGCACCCAGAGTTGAGCGTTGCAAGGGTCAAAATGCGTTTCTTTGAGGAGTTCTGAAGATGTACACAGATGGGAACTGCCTACTGAGGCAACGCTTCCTGAAAGAGGAACACTCCGAATAGTTCATGCACATTTTGGTATAACAATGGCCACATGGAACATGTTAAGAAAGAGTTTAGTCTGAAATATATACAGTATATACAAACTGCAAGTAATCCATGCATTTAAGCACTTCAAATAACTTCAGTCTAGTAGATTATCACTCATATTTTAAACCTAGGCGTGCAGCTCTCAATTGTTATATTAATAAATTGAAGCCACAAGAGATTCCGCTTTCAGAAGATTTCTACAATCTATCTGTGCATAGTCTGTATGCATGCACATTTAAGCACATGTATTCATAAAAACTGCAGATGGTGATAATTAATAATTATGTGCTGTCAAGTAAATTCAGACTTACTGCTACAAAACAGATGGCAGCACAGAAAGCACAGGAGTACAACAAGCTGTTGGGAACATCAAATGGATCCTCCATTTAAAAAAAAATAGTGGACAAGGGTAGCAACTCCAGAGAGAAAAGTATAGTTTGGTCTCCCATCTGAATGTACAAGTACTTTCATTAAGCAACCTTCTTAATGGTTTTTCCCCCTGCATTTCTTGGGAGTCCACATGTGCTCCCTAGCAGAATTCCCTAATTATAGGGATTCTCTTAGATCACTGGTTCCTAACCTTGGCATAGGGATTCTCTTAGATCACTGGTTCCTAATCTTGGGAAACCCAGATGTTCTTGGATGTAATTCCCAGAAGCCTCCACTACCAGCTGTGCTGGCTGGGGTTTCTGGGAGTTGCAGTCCAAAAATAGCCAGGGTCACCCAAGGTTGGGAACCATGGTCCTAGAACACACAAAATACCCTAAGTCAGATTAACATTGGATCCGTCCGTCCCCGTCCCCCCCGGAAGTACCACAGGGCTACAATGGCCACTGAATTTTGCACTATGTAGGAATGTTTGCTGTTGGGTTTAAAAATAATTTGAATTGACATAGAGAGTAACAAATATTTGCTGTCTGCACTGAGTGAAGCTATTTATTCAGCTTTGCTGCATAGGTGAAAATAATTGTATTAGCTGTTCAGTCGGACTGCTGGCAACTGGAGTAAAACAAGGTCTTTTTGTTTTTAGGGCAGTTTTTGAAGATAGCCTGTGACCAAGAATTACAAATTGCGGTCAGAATAATATGCGAACAGGTAATTTAATTAAGGTTTCTATTAATCCCATTATTGCTACACAGTGCTTGAGAATTAAGTACTGTATACTGGTACATATCTGAATGCTCAGTGGGTTGATTTTCTTGTTGAATGTGCATGGACAATCCCCTTTTTGTTGTTTAGTTGTGTCTGACTCTTCGTGACCTCATGGACCAGAGCATGCCAGGCCCTCCTGTCTTCCACTGCCTCCCGGAGTTGTGTCAAATTCATGTTGGTCGCTTTGGTGACACTGTCCAACCACCTCGTCCTCTGTCGTCCCCTTCTCCTCTTGCCGTCACACTTTCCCAACATCAGGGGCTTTTCCAGAGAATCTTCTCTTCTCATGAGATGGCCAAAGTATTGGAGCCTCAGCTTCAGGATCTGTCCTTCCAGTGGGGACAGTGTTTGTGATGGCCAGCTTGTTCTCTTGACAAAACTCTATTAGCCTTTGCCTTGCTTCGTTTTGAACTCCAAGACCAAACTTTTCTGGTGCAGTGAATGTCTGGTTTGTAACTTCCTAAAACCTGTTAGAGGATAATCGCCTGTACTTTACTGCTTAAGCAAACTTTGATCTATGGAAGGTACTTGTTTTCTCTGTCTTGGCCTTGAATATACAAAATTGAAACACACCTGTTTTCTGCACACCTTCTTATTCATAACATTATGAGCATACTTTCAATAGGCCCTATATGAATTTTCTTTCTTCCTTCCCTCTCCTGATTTTCTCCTTATTCTCGTGCTAGTCCTTTGACTCCTTGGTTTTTAGGACTATGTGTCACCCGTTCCTAATTTGCATATGTTTCTTTCCTGTTTCCCACTCCTGCCCATTTCACTTGGCTAGACCTTAGATCCTACAGCTTCACTGTCTCTCAGGCCCCAACCCTCCTGCCCCTAAACCCTGGATGATATTTTCCTCTCTCCAGCCTGACCTTCCACCCTCTTCCTGGACATTCCTTCAGGCTTGTTGTTCAGTATTGGATGACTCACATTTTTGCTTCAGCACTTACAAAGTTGGTGGAAATTCTGTCCAGGAGGGTGATAGTAGCTCAGAGCAATCTGTAAAATGTGAACTAAGATTGAAAGTATATAGCTTTCTTAGTTGCAGCCATACATCAGTTGTAGAAGTGCTCTCAAACAAAAGCACTATTTTGTAAACCATTAGCTTGCCTCTATTCATTATAACCCTATAAATACAATATAGAATAGAAACCTATTTTGTCATATTGTGACTTCAGTCACAATAGAGGCCATAACCCTGCAACTCTAAATCAGATTAAAAGTTCTGCAACAAACTTCACCGATTCAGAATAAAAATAGAGATAGAAATTCAGGTTGGATGAGTTTATTTCGTTGGCAAAGAACAGTACTGGATGAACAAGCTCATCTAGTTATGATTCTATAAAAACAACTTATCAGTGTGTAAAGAACCGCTCTATTCTCTATCTTCCTGGCACAACTGACCTCCTATCTGAGCTGTAACAGTCAGGATGTGATGGTTCTATTACTAGTTGCGATGTAGGATATTTCTCCACTTTGACTGTTTGTGCAGAGAAGGATCAGGAGAGCAATATTTATTATAGGAAACACCAAGGCTTAAACTATACTTCTTCCCCACTATTTGAGAAATTAGAAATTGCTTTATCTTTCCTGACGTCTGAAAATGGGTATGTTCTCTCTGTAGATTTGTGTTTCCAGATAAAGATACTCTGCTGCCCTATTTTAAGGTGTTGGCTAGAAATAACAGTGACTATCACACCTAATGTGTAAGATAGCACATAGCTTTCAAATGTGTGATGCCATAAACTGATTCTGTTTTAACGGAAAGGCTTAATCTGACTGTTGAAAGTTATACAACTACAGTACTTTTTTTTGTATGACATTTGCCAAAATATTCATCCAGTACCTGCTGCTTAAACCAATTTGTTGTTGTTTACTCGTTAAGTCGTGTCCAACTCTTCGTGACCCCATGGACCAGAGCATGCCAGGCCCTCCTGTCTTCCACTGCCTCCCGGAGTTGGCTCAAATTCATGTTGGTCACTTTGATGACCCTGTCCATCCATCTCTTCCTCTGTCATCCCCTTCTCCTCTTGCCTTCCCTTTTCCCCAACATCAGGGTCTTTTCCAGGGAGGCTCCTCTTCTCATGAGATGGCCATAGGATTGGAGCCTCAGCTTCAGGATCTGTCCTTCCAGTGAGCACTCAGGGTTGATTTCCTTCAGAATGGATAGGTTTGTTCTCCTTGCAGTCCAGGGGACTCTCAAGAGCCTCCTCCAGCACCACAATTCAAAAGCATCCATTCTTCGGCAGTCAGGCTTCTTTATGGTCCAGCTCTCACTTCCACACATCGCTGCTCGAAAAACCATAGTTTTGACTATGCAGACCTTTGTCAGCAAGGTGATATCTCTGCTTTTTAAGATGCTGTCTAGGTTTGTCATCACTTTCTTCCCAAGAAGCAGGCGTTTTTAAATTTTGTGGCTGCTGTTTCCATCTGCTGTGATCACGGAGCCCAAGAAAGTAAAACCTGTCACTGCCTCCATATCTTCCCCTTCTATTTCCTAGGAGGTAATGGGACCAGTGGCCATGATCTTAGTTTTTTTTTTATGTTGAGCTTCGGATGATTTTTTGCACTTTCCTCTTTCACCCTCATTACGAGGTTCTTTAGTTCCTCCTCACTTTCTGCCATCAGAGTGGTAACGTCTGCATATCTGAGGTTGTTGGTATTTCTTCCGGCAGTCTTAATTCTGGCTTGGGATTCATCCAGTCCTGCCTTTTGCATTATGTATTCTGCATAAAAGTTAAATAAGCAGGGAGACAATATACAGCCTTGTCGTAAACAACCAATACCATATCATATTAAAAAAAAATCTAAGGATATGTTTCTGAATATATTTCACATGAACACACACATATAAATTAGAGAGTATGGCCCTCCAGATGTTGCTGAACCTTAACTCCCATTAGCCTTCATTCTTGACTATGCTGTCTGATGAGACTTATAGTCCAACAACGTCTGGAGTGAGACACATTCTCCAGGCTTGTCCTGGGCAAACCACTTTCTATACTGGCTTACCTTTCAGAGCCATTCTAAAACAGAACATTGCTATTATTAAATCACAAATGTATTTATTTATTAAATTTATACCCTGCCCATCTAGACCGAAGTCTACTCTGGGCGGCTAACAATAATAGAATAAAAACAATAAAATAAAATAAAATAAACAACAGTAGTAATATAATTCAAGATGGGAAAAATATTCAAGTGATGACAGGAGGGAAAGCCTGCCTAAAGAACCAGGTCTTAAGTTTGCTCTTAAAAACACCCAGTGAGGAAGCCAGACAGATCTTGGGGGGGAGACTGTTCCAAAGGCGAGGGGCCACTGCTGAGAAGGCCCGGTTTCTTGTTCTTTCTCCCCGGTCCTCCCTCGGCATTAGGCCCCTCAGCTGCCCCTCCTTGCTAGAATGAGCGGTTTGGGTAGATCTAGGTGGGAGGAGGCATTCCGCTAGATTAGATGGCCTTGTTTGAATATCTTCAGGTTAGAACTTTTTCTTTGTTTCCTAAGATTTCCTGTGTATACACAGATCTTGTGAAAAAAAGGAAGAAGCTGGTAGACTCTTGGGAGATTGCTTAGCCTTACTAACCATTCTGGTGAGTGAGAGCCAGCCAATGCCTAAAAAAATAGCTTCTCTGCTTTTTTAAAACAGAATCCAACTGATTGTCACAGTTTAAAGTTACCACCTGCTTGACAGGTCTATTTCCAGATATGGTTTATGAGGTTTTGTTTGATTAAAGCACAGCAATGCTAGTTATTGGGGAGGATTAAATATGGCTGATGGAAAACACCTCCTTACAGTATTATCTGTGCAACTTAAAAAACAGCCAGGAAAGATGATGGCTGACAAATAAATTTGGAATTTACTATTCCCCTTGGAGGATAAGTCAAAACTCAAGGAAATTGAGGTGTTTTTTTAATTTGAAACTGCTTTTAAGGAAGACTGGATGTTTAGTCTCATTCAGGAGATTTTCCCCACTCACCCTTCATCTTTCGTACAGTTCTTAGACTGTAAGCTTTCAAGAATGCAAAACTCTCTGTAGGTTTTGTAAACAGGTTATGTAATAACAGGATGTTAATTGCAATGAACCTATTATGGGAGACTGGAGTCATCATAGCTTGTTGGCTTGTAGGATTAGAATTGGAGACCTGCATGCAAAGCCTTGCTCAGCCATGGTGATGTTGGGCCAGTCAGAAGCATTGCTAACCATCAACAAGCTTAGCCTCTCACTCCTGTTGCCCACACAGCTATTAGGAAGACGTGGCAACCTCTTTTTTTAATTAGCTGCAACTTGTTGTGTCATCTCAACCTGGACAAACAGGTTAATCTTAATTACGGTTGAGGGAAACAAGCCAATTTAAGATTATGGTTTATGAAGCTGGATTGCTTTCATTAGCTGTTTTAAGATTAAGCCGTCTGAGTTGAATGACGTGTTGAACTGCTGTGATGTTACAATGGAAGCACTCATTTTTCTGGATGCTCAACAGAATTAAAGAGGAATTCTTGAGCCTGGAGGGAAAATTAGGCCCATTCTCATAATGTTAAACCGTACCTTAACAATATGTACAGCGGCAGCCGCTCTCTCCCATTCTAATTTACTTCACAGGGTTGTGAGGATAATATAGAGAATAAGAAATCATTCCCCCTCTGAAAGCTATATGGGATATGAGTGAGGATAATATAGAGAATAAGAAATCATTCCTCCCCCCGAAAGCAATATGGGATGTGAGTTTAAATAGTAATAATAGTAGTGACAATAATGAAGATGATGATAATTATAATGGTAATGATCGGCCCCAGGAACAAACAAACAAGAATACATTTTACAGTCTAGAAGCATAAGATGTCAAGAGTTTTCCTTTCTTCTAAGTGGAAGCTTCTAAGTACACAGTTTCTGAAGGCTTCAGTCTCATGTCTGACCATTACACATCGCTTAGGCTCCCCAAAACCTGTTGCCCAAGGACAGCCACCCCTCCTTCACTGTTGTGTGAACAGAGCTCTCAGATCTGTGCAGATTTGGTATTAAAACCATCCTCCCACCTCTTCTACCACTATCAATTTTTCTGAGTATCCTGCGCCATCAATTCAGAACCCACTTACTGCAACTCTAATTTATGAGATATTTAAGGAGTGGTTTTATCAGTTCCAACTCTCGCCCTCCTCAAGAGTTTTGCGGCCGATCAGGCATTCAAACCCAGGTCTCCTGAATCCTAAACCATCACTATCCATCCCTTTTGTACACATATAGAATGCTTAAGAAGCTCTGTTCTCAGGTCTTCTGGCCCTCAACTCACAGAAAGTTTTTCCAAGGACATGGAAATAGCCAATGAATGAAGTAGCACGTCCCATCCCTCCTTTAAGGAGGCCCCCATTGCTCAGGTACTAAAATAAAGAATGAATAGAAAGAAATGGCAACATGGCAGCCAGCATCCATGAGGCTCCTCTTTTTCTTGGTCCTTTGTTCTCAGGACAAAATGGAATGTTTCCTTTCTTTGCCCATTGAAGGGAAAAAAAGAGCCTCAATTTTTCCACACAATGAGGATCAGGTGCTAAAATACATTGTTAAGGCATACTTTCAGATCATCAGATGCAAGAATAGTCAGGTACCCCGAATCAATACTTGGTTTTTCTTTTCATTTCAGATCATGAAGAGCTCTGTGGCAGGAGTTACGGATCTTTCTGTCTAAATGGTGGGATTTGTTATATGATACCTACTGTTTCCAGTCCTTTTTGCAGGTAAACCGATTATTAAAATTTATATTTTGCACCCTAGGCTTCTGTTTTGGGAAAGTTGTGTAGTGTTCTATGCCAGCGATAATCTCTTTTAAGGAAACATGTTTTTGTTCACATTTGCAGTAAGATATATACTTCTTATAATGCAGTGGTGTCAAACTGTGGCCCTCTACTTCTTATAATGGATATCTTTAAGTTGAATTCATTTTGACTAATGTAACTGGTAATGTAATAAAAAAAAACCAAATTCTCTGAATTTTGGTAGATATCAGGTAACTCCATGTACACTCTAGCTATCCTAGAGAAACAGGTTTGACTAAGGGGATTCCAGAGTTGAAAATAAAGAATTGGAAAAACTAGCAAAGTACAGCGACCTCGCCATCGAAACATCTCACCTCTGGAACAAACAAACTTCTTGTAATAAAAAAAAACCCAAATTCTCTGAATTTTGGTAGATATCAGGTAACTACACTCTAGCCATCCTAGAGAAACAGTTTGACTAAGGGGATGCCAGAGTTTAAAATAAAGAATTGGAAAAACTAGCAAAGCACAGAGACCTCGCCATTGAAACATCTCACCTCTGGAACAAACACACTTCTGTGGTCCCCGTAGTCACTGGGACTTTGGGAACAATATCAAGAAGCAATATCACCAGGGTACAGACAGAGTTCCGACTCCAGTCCTCTGAAGATGCCAGCCACAGAGACTGGTGAAACATTAGGAAGAACAAACTTCAGAACATGGCCAAAGAGCTCAAAAACCCACAACAACCATCAGATCCCGGCCATGAAAGCCTTCGCGAATACAATATCAAGAAATTTCACACAATACTACTCATATAAGCAGTTGGAGATCTCAGAAATCACACCATCAGAACTACAAAAAACGGCAATATTAGGAACAGCATACATACTGTGTCGATAGTTAACAGATACTTAGGTTTTTGGTTAAAACTTATATCTGTTATATAATACCAGTCAATGTTTTTATAATTTTGACTGTGCCTGGGGTTTTTGAACAACAAAATATTGTCAAATCAATTCTGACATGTGGTGACCCCTTTCAGGCTTTTCTAGCTAGAGAATATTCATCTTCCCTTCTTCGGGGGGGGGGGGCGGGCTGGGATGGTGCAGCTTGCCCAAGGCCACCCAGGCTGGCTGTACTCGCAGGAACGCCCAACCTCTGGATCTGCCTAACTCACTGAGCTATCCAGCCAGCATTTTAATTACTGTACTTCATTTCTTCAGCAGGTGCCACATTGGAGATAAAGCATGTTTCAACTAGTTTTCATCTTGCACTGGCAGAATTCACACAATGCTTAGGTGTGTGTCTGTCTGTCTGTCTGTCTGTCTCTCTCTCTGTGTGTGTGTTTGGTGATGCATTGTGCCAGCCAGCACAGTAGGATGTAGGGCTTGTCCCATCTTGTCAAGTGGGTGCAGCTGAGAGATAGAACTTGAAATATTGGTCTCTGCTTGAAATATTCCACTCCAGGATGCTTTCATTCAAAGCACCCATCTTATCAGTCAAGCAGGAAATCTAATTACGAAGCAGAAAGTTTTGGTTGACATTCAGTAATGACAGGAATAGCAATAATAAAGTAAACCACTTATCCGTAGAATAACAGAAGTACTAATTAATGGTTGTTTGGGATTGTTGTGCTAACTCTAGTCGAGTTACTTATCTCTAGATCCCGCCTTCCAGTCATCCATCTGTTAGGGATTTACCAGCATTTGTCTGCCCGGAGTGCCTCTTAAAGGCCTGGCAGAGTTGGTGGCTTTGTGTACAGAAAGGGACGGATGGTAAGGCAAGAGTTTCCATTGCTTGCAGCAAAGGAAACAACAGGGCGTTAGCTCTAAAAGATGTCTTGAGAAATAAGAGTAGGGACCCCTCCAGTCCTTTGCAACCTTTCAAACATTTATCTTCTCAAAGTGGCTGAAGCAAGGGAAATAAAACTACGTTGGCTGGTCTGAAGAGATTTCAGAGTTTAAAGTCATCATTCACACTTACCTTGTCTTCGGAAAAAGACCTTGTGGGATGGAATCTACCTCCCCTTCTCAGTACTCTTCTCAGCCTCAATTTTTAAAACTTCATTAGAATTTAAATTTGTAATAAAAGCCACTCTGTGCTGTAAAAACAAAAGAGAGAGAGAGAGAGAGAGAGAGAGAGAGAGCTATTATTGGCAGTTTGGGAGATGCCATTGAACACGATAGCTCAGCATATTCAACGAAGAATATTCATATTCATATCCAACGGCTGGACGTTCAGTGCTCTAGGTACAGTGGTGCCTCGCTTAACGAGTGCCTCGTTTAACGACAAATCCGCATAGCGATGGATTTTTTGCGATCGTTTTTGCGATCGCATAACGATGTTTTTAATGGTAAAAAATCGCTTTGCGATGATCAGTAAGCTGTTTCGCTTACTGATTTTTGCATAGCAATGTTTTAAAAACAGCTGATCGGCGGTTCAAAAATGGCCGCCGGAAAAAATGGCCACCCGCAGTGCTTTTGCGCCGTTTCCTTGCATACCAGGCAGCGAAAATGGCAGCTGTATGGAGGATTTTCGCAGAACAGTGAGTTTTAAGCCCATAGGAATGCATTAAATGGGGTTTAATGCATTCCTATGGGCTTTTTCTTTTTGCATAGCGACGAATCCGGATAGCGACGATTTTTGCGGAACGGATTATCGTTGCTATGCAGGGCACCACTGTATACAGCTGTGGAGTCAGAGGTTGGGAGTTCGATTCCCCACGGCATCTCTTGGAGGAGAGCTGGGCTCTCTGATCCATAGGGTCCCTTCCAGCTCTGCAATTCTAAGATGATGATGATCATGATTGCAGTAAACCTATGTCTATTTTAAATGAATGTCTGCCACAATCATGTGCAAATTGGAGAGGTAAAGGTGCCATTTAAAATGCAAATGTGTTTGTGCAGGCAAGAGATGCTGAGTTCCCACCTACCACAGGTCTTTCCTAGCCCCTTTTATCGTAAGTGGACTTGCATCTTGTGTCAGAGCCCAGTTGTGGTGCAGAGGACCACAGAGAATAACTATGGAGAAGAAGTACCAGCTGTTTAGGAAGAAGTTCCAACAAGCACAGCGCTCTGCTACTTTACTGCTTTATATGGAATTCTGGGGAGACCTGCCTTTAAACTTGTGTAACATTTGGGCTTAGATTTCACTTGGGTGAAATTTAGCATTTTCCCAATGCGAGAAAACCTCCTCTTCTCTCTAGTTAGTACCATACTTGCCCCACTGCTGATGCAGCTCCGTATTGTGTTCTGAGGACTCAGAAAATGTGATATCCCATTAGCAAAATTGTTTGCTCAAGGGAAAGACTTCTCGATCCTCTGCAGCAAAACTGAGCAAGATTTATTGCAAGGGCAAAGAGGGAGAGAGAGAAGCCCTTTAGGAAGATATGAAAGCAAGAACAACAGGATCCTGAGCAATGTTGGCCTACTTGTGGCCAGAGAGATCCTGGAAGGAAAAGGATGATCTTGAGATAAGTGATGTGCTAAATCAGGTCATTTTAAATGACACCCTGATGCAAGAGAACCTTGTATAACTCCATGGACTGTGGATTTGTTTACACAGTAGAATTACACTGTTCTTTTAAATAAACAAACATGCCCTTTTATACATCACATGAAAGAAATGGATAATTCCTGTTTGCTTTCGGATATTTCACAGTTACTGCACTTTTTGGCAGGAAAAAGAGGGCATGGGAGGGAAAGAGGAGGCCTTGCATCTGCAATGCTTAACTATGAAAAGCCCTGAACTTCCTAAAGTCAAAAGGTTGCGATCCGTTTGGGTAACAATTCCCATGGAGAAAGTAAAAAAAAGGTATTGCCTCCGTCTTCCCCAGAACACTTTGAATACATGAAGTAAACCTCGGTGAATTTGAGAAGACCTGCATTCAAGTAAATGGCTCCAAACTAGATACTATCAGGTACCCCTAAGTTTTAACAGGGGAAAAAAATCACTTCCACTCATTTGAGCCCCATTGATTCCAAACAAATTAGTTTTAGAGCAAGAACGTGTGCCTCTGCTTTTGCAGATAATGGTTGCCGTGTTAGGTTTGACTTTTTTTTTCCCCCAGTGGGAGGAGGCCTTGATTATATGACAAGACCCACAATATGCTTGTGATTGTTCACCAAATATGTGGGTGTGCTGTTTGAACATTCTGCCAGGGGTCATGCCTCCGTTCCTCCTCTCTGCTGCCATGGGGAGAAGACGAGGTGGCTCAAGGCACAGCCGCTCTTGCGATGGGTGGTGGAAGGAGTCACTCAAGAGACAGAAGAGAGGAAACAGCCGGGATCACGAATCCACGCTGCAAGTCCCGGAGAGCAGCCCCCTAAACTCCTTGGCTGCAGAAATGGCCAGCCGTCATACAAATAAAAACGCCGAACATTCCAGCCCTCTGGTATTCCCGAGAGAAGCACAGAGGCTACAGGAGGAACCCAAGCTGGGTTGAAGAATGCACATTTCTCACGCTGGAAGTCCCAAGTTTGACTCCGAGATGCAGCCACACCTTGAAAAGGGGGTTGTCCACCAGCCTGTGACCTTGCCTACACACCAGTCCATCGTGCCCATGGAACAATCTGTCTTTTGGCTCAATCCTTTCCCTGAGGCAACCGGCAGGATCTCCCCACCCACTGACATCACCTGGAAACCGAGCCCTGCCAGAAGACACACTCCTTCCTGCTTTAGGTCTGCAGTCAGACTTAAGTCACACCAATGACTTGACTTGGGAATTTTTCTCCCAATGACACAGACTTGACTTGCAAGTCACCTGCTCCCTTTTTTTCTGCGGGGGAAAAAGCTTGTTTTTAAGAGAAACTCAGACTGAGGCATGGTACCAAAGACTCAAACTTCAGACTTGGACCCAACGTCCATGCCAGCTGCCTCGTGCATTCTGAGAGTGATCCCCAAAGTGAGCAAAGGCTCCCTGGAAGGAATCATAAGGACCCCTTCTCTCCATGTACTGGCTGAGGGATGCTGGGAGTTGTAGTCCCAACGCAACCCCTACCCCCCCCACCCCCATGCGCTTCTCAAAAACGACTTTCAAGTGTAATGTCTGCAAGTGATATGGAGGGAACATAAGTTACGCGCATCACACTGTTGAAATGTGCCCGGTAGATTCAGGATGTGACAGGCTTGATTAGAGGTTTGACAGCAAAAAGGGTGTTGGTCTGAAAAAGAATCATGTAAATGTCATATTTAAACCTACCAAGTCCTGCAAGTAGAGAAGGCAATTTCTCTTTGTGGCATGAATAATGCAGATAATGTTATTTGCATATCTGTTCACAATTTGCATTGCTTTTTGAAATGCAGCGTTATGAGGTATTAAAACACTGCATCGGTAATAAGGATCTCGGCTCCTTGGCCCGAACAGATTTGAAACGGAAAGTTGCTATTTTAGCCTGCACAGGAGTTGATATTTACATACAAGGCACGTTAACTACGAAAAACCCTTGATTTTTCCTGATTAGAACAGAGTTCTAAAAATAATGCTATATGTTCTGATTAATAGTGCTAATCAGAAAGAAAGCACCGGGGGTGGGGTGGTATATGCGTGCAAAGCCTCTTAAAAGGGAACTCGCTGTGCAAGTGGAAACAAGAAAAGGAAGATTCCTTCTCCAAAATCTTGAGCAGCCTTCTCTGGGGCCTCTTTGGACTCCAGAGGCACTGCTGTGTCTCTGTAATTGCGCCGTGTTCGTCGTTACTTTGAAGATTTTTTTTACACCGCATTAGCCTTATTTGTTACTCTACAAGTGCCACATTAAAAAGTGTTCTTTTGAAATTATTATTTTTTGCCTTTGAAAATACTTCTTTAAAAAAGAAGCAGCATGTTGTTATATATAACTGTTTGTTTGTTTATTAATTTAAAATATTTTTATCCCGCCTTTCTCCTTAAAAAGGACCCAAGACCGCTCATATCATTAAATAGATAATATTTAAAAGCTAAAACAGTGAACACACAAATATTAAAAAGAATTAAATAAGCATTATATTTAAAACAGCAAATAAAATCAATATTTAAAAATTTGAACCAATGTAGCACCACAATCCATTTAAAAATCCCTTTCAGATCACCAGTCATTCAGGGAAAGCCTGTCTGAAGAGCAAAGTCTTTGCCTGCTTGCAGGAGGACAGCCAAGATGGGGCTAGTCTGGCCTCCAGTGGGAGGGAGTTCCAAAGTCTGTGACCAGCCACAGAGAAGGCCCTCTTCCATGTCCCTACTAAACGCCCCTGTGAGGATGACAGGACCGAGAGGAAGGCTTCTCCTGATGATTTTAAAGCCCTCATAGAAGGAAAGGCCGTTTTTGCTTGGATCCAAGCCATTTAGGACTTCATAGGTTAAAACTAGCACTTTGAATTGTTCCCAGAAACATATAACAAGTAGATGTTTCACAGGATGATCAAACTGTAATGCTGGAAGAGGTCCTGCCCTTTGGGATATTGGGAACAGATCCTTCCCCTCCTCTGTATCACCACCTTTCAATTATTTGAAAAGTGCTATCAGATCTCCCCTCCATCCTCTTTTCTCAAGGCTAAATACATGCCCAGTTCTTTCAGGCTATCTTTATAGGGATTGGTTTCCAGTAATCTACAAGAACTAAGGCGCATCATTGTCAGATGCTTCAATTCCTTTAAGTTATAACTTCTCAGGGAATTGGATCTGGAAACTTTTAGTTCTCCAACAGTGCCACTCTAGACACATCCACTCAAAAGTAAGCCCCCCGGTGAAAATAAAAAGGCACTTTCTACCAGGTAATTGGGCAGGAGACCTGCCACAAGACTGGGGGCCTGTTGTCTATTCACCCTCCACCTTCTCCTGGAGGCGATCTATACTCATGCACGATTCATACCACTTTCCAAATTGTCACCGGATGGGGACATCGGCTGCCCAACCAAGCCACACAACGGTTTTGCTTATCACTTACGATATGTAGATATCCACACAGAAGGTCTTCCCAAACGGACTTCAAAAGCAGCTTCCAAAACGTAAAGGCTGATCTATAATAAATTGTTTCATTTAATAAGTAGCAGTCAAGCTGACGTTAAAAACAGCACTAGGACATCAGCTCCGCCCCAATGCTCAGCAGAACCAATAATACTTGATGAAACTGGAATATTTCCAATTCCTCAGGCTCAACTGGCAAGCTTCCCCAGGGCCATTTTGCTGGGCCAAATTGAAAATAGGATTTCCCACCCTCCTTTCTTTCACTGGTTTCAAATCACAGCTCCCCTTGAACCAAACTGGAGCCATAAAAAACATGCTTCCATCATGAGACTTTAGCTGTCACTTGCTAACATAATGACACACAGAAAGTGGGTTGTTTCATGGCATGAATGGATGCTAAACCATTGCCCTAACTTTCAAACACATAATCTTTAACATTATTATTTTTAAAAAAACTTTTAAAAAAGTCATTTTATAGCTTAATATATGGTTGAGTTCATATAGTCTTAATGATCCAGGTTCTTACGGAATCATAGATGTTGAAACCTACGGTAGTTCTTGACACAGTTTAGACCACCATCATCTCAAATCTGCACTACACTTATTGCTAGTAGAAGAAAAGGTAAATTTCTGCCACTACTCTCAATGATTTTCCTGTCCTGAAGAATATTGTACATTGGTAGCCATAGCCTTTTAGCAAATGCCACATTCGGTTCAACTTTCACCCTATTCTTGTTAGATTTTTCCTGGTGCCCTGAACCTGTTATTTACATGGGCACCTTTCTCTTTCTTTCTTTCTTTCTTTCTTTCTTTCTTTCTTTCAATCGTTCGTCTGATCCTTTGTGTCCATCCCTTAGTTTGGCTCCTACCCTCTGGGTCTTCTAGGTCTGTTTTGCTCTGTAGTTCACATAAATCTTTTAAACTAGAGCCCTTGGATTTAAGTTTGCGGGCAACTTAATCTCAAGGATCCTCAAAGGCACACTAATACATACAAAACAGTGTCTTCCAGCACCTTATAGACTAACAAGTTTTATTTGGTAATTCCGTAAGTTGCTTTAAGAGCTTTCTTGTATGGCTGCAGGGGATTAATTGTAGCTATCCTCACTGCCGGGCTCCGGATCTAAGCTATTACTTGCCCGTAACAGCCTTTTGCAGAAAACTGCGCTCACACCCTATTTTGGTCTGTGTGCGTTATGGCATTTTGTGGCTCTCAGAACATCACTTCTTTCTGTCATCCATATAAGAGACAGAAGTATTTATGGCCCTTCGCAATATCTGAGAGGTCAGTTTTTATTGGGAGGCCCTTACAATCAATATAGGAGGCAAACCAAAAGGGGAAGATGAAGGCAGGATGAATAATTTTTTTGTGTGAATAAAAATATGGATTTAACGCCACCCTCTGATTCACAGGTGTGTTGAGAACTACACAGGAGCTCGTTGTGGGGAAATTTTGCTCCCAAGCATCAAAAACCACGCAAGAGGCGAACTGTTTGCAGCCGTTTTGGCTTCTGTGGTCGTTCTGAGTGTCTTGGTAGCTGGAGCATTCTTCTTTCTCTGCAGGTAAAACATTTGTGTCTAGCACTTCACAGAAGTATTATAATGTCACTCATGTAATTGTAATCATTAGCACCTGAATGTTTCTCCGATAAAATATCTGTAATGAATACAAGTTCCCTCTGTATTAGCAAAGGCATGGTGTATTTCTCTTTAATTCTTCTAAAATATCAAAAAAAATCATTATGCCAATTAGCCATAGTTATTATAATTGTTTTGTGTCACACTTCCATCTCCTATTAGCACCAACTCTCTTTCAGTAAGAGAGACCTGAATGAATTAAGGTATAACTTCGCTTTCACACTGCCAGCTTTTGAAAAGTTTAGTCTCAGTACAGTAATTTGATAGGATAAAGCACTTCTGCATTCTATACTTAAATCTCTCTCTCTGAATCTCATTCCCTTAAAACTTCAAGGCAGGATAAACAAAAAAGCTGCTTCTCCGACTCTTCCACCAAGCCACCAAACCCAGTAGTAGAAGGAAACTGGTATTATCCTTGACATAGGTTTTCTGAAATGCTTCCTGGACCATTTCAGAATATTCTGCCTGGTTGCCTAGAAGAACGTTTCTTTGCGAAATTGATAGCTGTTAAAAGGATTGTTAAGAGTTGCATTTTGATTCATTGATTCATACATTTATGTAGGAACCAGACACAGACAATCTGGTCTGTTGTGCGCGAAGGCTGCGTTCTTTCCTCGCCTGTATCAACCAGCCACTTTATTGCTTTAATTTCCCACTTAGCAAAATTATCAAAGAGGCTGAGTCATGTAATCACACTGTGATGCCTAACACCCTTCTTTCAAAGCTCAAACTGCAGCGTGCGGATGGGGAAAAATTTCAAAGTATAATGATATGGTCTCAGGACTGAATTTAGAGATGACCTTCTCCACCAATGTCTACAGTGTTCAGAAAAAGGGAATATGTGAGCAAGCCTTAACAATGCAATCCATGGATCCATTTCCAATAAATCGTTGGTTTAAGGCACTTTTGTCGACCTAAGAATGCGAGTTTCATTTGGTTATGCGGTGTTGGAGACTTGGCAGTTCAAAAGGACCAGGAGACTACAGTAGCAAAAGTCACAAGCCCTAAATGCATGCTAGAATTTCACTCATTTCCCCCTTTTATTATTTTTCAAACTTTTTTCATTTCATTTTTCACTTCCTGTCAGAAGAGGCCACAGTCCACGGACCAGTTCGGTAGAGCGCGGGGACGGTCTGATTGAGAGAAATGGCAGTGACCCCTGTGACAGTGAGTGCTTTTTCTAAGCAGCATTTGTGCTGGAATTATTTAAAAACATAGACGTAGAATTCTTGGTTGTTGTTTTTTTTAAAGACTTCTTTGCTTCTTTTCATAGATAACGGAATAGATATCTAAAGCAAGAAGAGATGGAACAGCAACAATCAAAGCACCCGTAGAAAAGCTTACACCATGTTGGAAGATATGGTAAGAAGACCGAAAAGAGAAGAGGTCCAAGACAAATAAATAGCTGTAGGCTGACAGGCGAAGAGGTCTCTCTCTCTACAGAGCTTAGCAGGATACACTTATATTAACAGGACACACCTCTATTGCCAATTGCATCAAAGGAAGAGACAATCTGTACAAAAATGTCTTACTGGTTGCATTTCCCCCAGCTGTTTCTAAAATGATTTCCCAATCTATTTCTATTTAATTATCTCATATGGCAAATATTGTTTGAATAACTGGTAAGTAAAATGAGGTAACAGCATTCTACCATGGGTTACTGGAAATCCCTAAAGTTATGAGGATGCCTACTTATTAAGCTTTGAATTTGTGCTTGTCCTTTGTTTTTTAAATGTACAGTAGCATGAAAAATGAGTGAAGCATAGAATATGACAGGAACATATTTAGGCAGAGTAATTACCTTGTCTTTGGTATGCTTTCCTAGTATCGGGCAAAGACTTTGTTCCGATTCGGTTTCCCCTGTTCTGCCAAGATTTTCTTCTGTGGAGAATCTTACTGTGGAACATTTAAGCATTACCTTAAGTCTCAGAGTGCAGAGCCAGAAAGATTCCATTTCTACTACCCCATCGTCAAAACAACATGTTTTCCGTCTGCTTCCACAATATTTAGAGAAAAGCAGGGGTGGCTCACATTTTTTATACAAAAATGTACCATGCACGCGATTAGGTTTTACTCATGCTTGTACAAAGGGTTTTTCAGCCGATACAAGGGAGAGGGGAAGGGCATGGCTGAGCAACGTCTCTGACCAGGTGAGATTTAAGAAAAGCAGTAAGATGATTAAAAACATGGAGTTTTTGAAGAGATTTTTAGTACTTCTGAGTAGAGAAATTTTTATTTATTTATGTCATAACCAAAGTAGGAGGAGGTTTGTTGTCACAATATCTGAGCAGATTTGCAAACTAGCTTTAAAAGGCAGTATCATTTATATCGCTGCTGGAATTAATAAGGTCAAAAGTAGAGAACAGATGTGGCACTACTTAGATTTAAGTCCAATGGTTGCATTTCATGATGGACTGGTGAAAGATAAAGTCTTCAAAATGTACATTTTCCTTATCGGGCATCTTGTCATTTTCTTTTTAAGAAAGACTAACTGTACATTCTACCAGGGTGAACAAAGATATTACGGGATGAAGAATATATTCCACCAAAGGCCATCGGGTAGGCTTAGGTGGAGAAAAGACAAACACACTCCGATTGCGATGCACGAATTAAGCACGTATTGTCATGAAAAATTTGTTGTTTTTCCTGAACAGTGCTACCTAGTATTTATAATAGCCAGCTCAATCTTCAAAAATGGGTTTATGGGCAAAACACCCAGATCAGCTGACTTACAAAGAGGGTTCTCTAAAGTTTTGATAGCTCATTTTTGCTGGTTCTGTGCTTTAGACTGTTTAGCCCTATTTGCTTATTTGGGTATTTACTGCTTTAATATAATGGAAAAACAAGATAGTATTTTAAAAGTTTTTCAAATCATCTTCTAATAAAACATTTTCTCATCCATATCATTATTCCCAGATATTGTGAATGAAAATATTACACATATTTCACAAGACTAAATATATAAGCATCAATATGCATTGCTTATATTCTTGGGAATTATCAGGAACAGATTGTTAGAGGCATATGGAGTTGGTGAGAGATGGCTTAAAGCCAGCTTTAACTTCAATAGTTTATGTAGATAAAATGCTGCACACGGTACTGTTAGATGAATAGCTTCTATACTATGTTCATTAACAAGCAATACCAACAATACGTTTTATCAGGCATAGATGCTTTTAAAAAAGCCTTTGATTGTGTTGAATTGAACGTTCTGAAGGTTGAACACAAAGGTTCTTATACAGGAGTTTCAGCAAATTAAAAATTGCAGAGTTTTAACAGAGAAACACGACATAATTAATAATTGTATACCATCAAGTTGATTCTGTGACAATCCTTTTCAGGGTTTCCCAGATAGAAAGTCGCCAGGAGCAGTTTACCATTTTGTTTTTTTCAAGGGGGGGTGCCTGGGGACTGTGCAGCTTGCCCAAGGCCTCACAGGCTGGCTCTTCTTCTGGAACACTGAAGAATCCGGCTCCCAACACCTAGCTTCACAACCAGAAACTTCACCCTCTGAGCTATCAAAACAGGTATTATGCCAGTTACTCTTCTTTTTGAACTACAGTATATAGAGAGTTTGAACTTGGACCTTCACAATGCAGTGGTTAAAAAACAAAGTCAAACAACAAAATATTCCCATTTATAAATAAAGTATATCCTTCTTTCTTGAAGCACCTATTCTATGTCTCTCAGAAGAGCACTCAGAAGTTAAAATCAGCTGCTTGAGATAGGATCAGCCAGCTGTTAAGTTCAGACTAGGAAACCAATTTGTTTATTTTGGCTAAACATAAAAGTCCACTGGCTCCAAACACTAAATAACGCCCCATACATATTTATATGTAGATCTAGGGTGTACATACTTACTGCAACTGGCCATTAGAGGGAGCCAGAGAAAAAGCAATGCATAGCATTTGAGACTTGCTTGTTTTTCAGCACCTACAGGAGGACGGGACTTCTGTTCCCCGGCGGATACCGCAATCCTACTGTACTCTTAAAGAATGGAAAGGCTTATTTAGAAATCTATTTTTCCTTCCAGCAAATGTACCTATGATTTTAAACTCACCCCAAACCTCAGATTTGGACTTCTTAAATGGTTCCTGTAGTTACTAAAGTGCAAGAGTCTCACAAGGGGGAAAAAGGAGGCTGTCCTGCTGATTATATGTACATAATCTCTGATGAGGTTCTGAATAGCTCAGCATTTTTGAAAGCAAAGCCATGATATAATTCACTGGTAACAGATTTTAGTTCAGTGTATTATGATCCAGTAGAATACTGCCTTTGAAAATGGCAACCAAACATTCATATTTTTCTTCTATCTTTTTTTAACAACTTACTGCCTGTCCACTTAATTTTGCAACAAGGAGGAAATACTCTATAAGGAATGGAATCTGTTGCCATACCAATCGAGAAGTTGGGGAAAAGGTCCCAAATGATCCTGGATGATCAAATAAAATACTTGAGATTACTGTGGATCTCTCCCGTCAGAGAGCAGTTTTCAAAACCCATCCCATAAAATTTTTTTAAAAACAGTTAAAAGGCACCATCAAATGACCTTCAATTTTTGGCAACCCTATGTATTCATGACCTCCAAAAGTTCCTATGGTTAAAAGCTATGTTCAAGTCTTGCAAAAGGCAATGGCTTCCTTTACTGAGTCAACCCATCTTATGTTAAGTCTTTCTCTTTTCCTACCATAGTCAACCTTTCCAGGGAGTCTTGCCTTTGCATGACTGCAGGAATGTAATCCATTTAGGGAATAGTTTAGGCTTAGTTTCATGTAGAATCCAGTTTTTTATTACATTAGTATCTTGCCTTCCCCCGCAATAACGTCAAGGCAGCATACCTGTCTCACATCCTCCGCTCTTTATCCTCAAGTATCTGGCTGACAAAGTGCAATTGATTCAAATTTCCTACAGAGTTTAATGGCCAAGCAAGAATCTGAACTGTGGTCTTCCAATTCCAACAATCTAACCATCACATCACACTGGTATAAAGAAAGACAGACACTTATTTGTCTTTTGGGCAGTCCATGGTATCTATAAAACATTCCTTCAGTGCCTTTCCAACATATCTATGACAAAGGCATTTTTAAAATGCTGCTTATGTCTGCCTGGGGATTAATTTTATCAATTAAATTGCATTCACTTGGCATTCTTTCTGCCCTCCAGCTTTACTGTGCTCAACGTTCTGCCGTATTTCTTGTTTTCCACAAGTGATGTTAAACCATAGTTATAGAAGTAAGGTCCAAGTCAACAGGATGCATTTCCAAAAAAACACACACGTGTGTTTAGAAGTGAATTGTAGAGTCTTCTCTTGTAGCAGTGGATGATGGCTATTCTTCATGAATAGTGTTTGGAAGGAGAGAGATTCCCCAGGGAATATTCAAGATTATTACAGCAGAAAAGTTAGAAACCACCCAGCCAGTGACTGTAATTTATAACACAATCCAATTTAGCCCGTGACACTTTCCAGTACACAGTGTTTTCTGAGATAAGTCCTAAAGATTCCAGACGGCCATATTCCTTCAAAAAGACAGAAGACTTAAAAAAAGGTGGAAGCATCTGAGAAATGGTTTCATGGTTTAGATTCAACGAGCCTTCACCATCCCATCTCAACACACAGGTGTTCTGAAGAACTCGGTTCAAACAGAGTGCCGTACGTCTTGCCACGGAGCAAACAACACTGTTACAGCTGTTCATGTGTTCATCCGGTGAGTAATTTAGTCAATGTGTCAAGTCTAATCCATGAACATCACGCAGAAATAGTGATATTTCAATTCCAACGAGGAGTGGAGCAATAAGTCTAGTTTAAACCAACCACTACTTGAAATTTTATAAGTAACATCATTTCCCCCCCTCTATTTTAGACTAACACTTGTTCAATTTTAAAGTTTCTGCATGGTGCAAAAGGACTCCCTTCCTCACCTAATTTAATCTTATACCAACTAGGAATGCTAATGATCATTTTTAGTCCAGGAAGTCTTTCAGCTGAAGGTGTGTACATTCTCTCACAATTTTGTTTAAAAAGTTTGACCTTAAAACAACCTCGTGACTCTGACCTACGTGTACAGCGAGAGGTTTTAAGACTGATTTGTTTTGGATGAGCCCAGGTGGATAAGAACCATGACAGTGGTGTAACCATGGAGGAGGTCATCCTTTGTGTCGTATTCCCTGAGTATAAAATTCCCAGTCACAATTCGATCGCACCCTATCTCTCCGTTTCCAAAAAATCCAAACAGGGGGACGTTAGGAAAGAACTTCCTGAAAGCATCGGCTTCGAGATTAGGTTTGGTTTTGTAATACTGGTATCCCCTGCCAACACAGGCAAACATAAAGCCAAGGCTATTGTGTTCGGGGATGTTGGCGGCCTTGAGGCGCTGCATGGCTGCTTCGGCTGTCCTCTCGTCAATGACATCTTGATCTAACAGAACGGTCGCGCTCTGGATCTGGGCTCCGCTAAAAGCCAAGCCAACGACGCCGCAGGACTCAGCGGGCCGAGCGTTGCTGGAAAAGAAAGGGGAAACAGAACCAGGCTGAAAGGGGGGGGAGGGAGAATTGGTCGCAATAAAAATGCTTTTCATGAGAATAACAAAACAAAGTGATATATAAACGGCATGATTAAAACTCCCCTGCATAACACTCGCTGGAAAAGTCCCAAAAACCTCATTTGCCACTGGCTTGTCCTGCGCACCGACATCGCATACCGACAATAAATGGCTCTGCTTCCTCTGTCCAGGAGTCAGGATGGAAGGCACTCATCTCTCTGAACCCGAAAATCTAAGTCTTAAAAAAAAAATTCCTCCCACACACACAATGAAAACAATTTCTGGTTCTCAAGGATACAAGTTTGGAAAAGAGAAGGGGGAAAAAAAACTCAAAAGCAAGGGAGTCTAGGAAATAATTGGTTTCTCAGGAAGGCCCAGCTTTTGATTCACGCACTCTGTTGCTTTGCTGGGTTGCTAATTTGAGGATGGGAGAGCTGTACCTTAGAAATAAACTCAACCGATCTGTAGATACCTTGATGCAGCCGTCCTTCACCGTTATGTTTTCCATCCTTACCCCATTTTTCTTATCCTCTGTGAACTCCTTTTTATCACCCAAGTGTCATGTGAGGATTTACCCCAGATCTTGAGAAGTAAGACCTTTCGGCCTCTGACTCAAAGATGTGAAGAAACTGTTTTATAGGCGAGAAGGTTATTTGCCACACCTGTTTGCCGTGCTTTCAGGATAATTAAGAATCTGAGCTAATTTTCATACAAGCATTTATCCTTGAGCGATCTTTGGGAATACGAAAGTAAATGCAAACATTTAATATAAATAAAATGAAATCTGCCTGGGATATATATTACAGTTTCAACTGGGTTTTTTCTTTTTATGAGATGTATATTCTTATTGACTAAAAACCCCTGAAATATCTGTTTATTTATTTTTGAAATCCATTATTAAGGGATGCAGAATTAAGAACATGTGCTTGGGAAGACATTATAGAATGGGAGTCAGTTCCACCCTGTAGAGGAGGAGACTGGGTTGGTTTGTAGAAAGTCTGGGGGAAAAGGGTGTGCTAAGAATACTGTAAGCTGGCTGGCTGGCTCAGAGGTTTAGGTGAAGCCAGAGGTTGGGAGTTCGATTCCCCACTGTGAACCTTCAGGGAGAAGATCCAGACTGGGTGGCTTTTTCCCCAGAAAAACGGAAAGGTTAACCACGTCTACCTGGAAACACCCGACAGAGGTTTAGGTGAAGCCAGAGGTTGGGACTCGATTCCCCACTGTGAGCCTTCAGGGAGAAGATCCAGCCTGGGTGGCTTTTCCCCCAGAAAAAGGGAAAGGTCAACCACGTCTACCTGGAAACCCCCGAAAAGAGTCGCCATCAGCCAGAATTGACTTGCGGGCACATTAAAAATACCATGACGCTGCTTAATGCTAGTACAAAGTCACAAGGGCAACCCTGTTGTAACAAAAAACATGCCAAATTCTGGGAAATTACTGTGTGTGTATGAAAGTGCCTCTTTATTTAAAAGGCTCAAGTGACTTGATCTCACCAGGATTCCAAGTGGGTGAAACCTCTGCATATTTTTCTTATAACTTCCTATACAGCTGTGATACGACCAGCATTTACCTGAAGCGATGCCTGCCTCCACAGCACTCTCTACTCTGAGTAAACAAAGCATCACAATACCATTTTACTACAAAGGGATGCCTTGTTTTGACAAGTGTAAAGAACAGCACTCAATAGCTGGACAAATGTTTGACCTTGAAGACCACAGGCATGTAGGCTGCTGCTGCTACGACAACGGAGCCTGTGTCCTTGAGAGGTGGTGAGCGCTCCAACACTGGAGGCCTTCAAGAGAAAACTAGACAAATCTGCTTTGATTTGGATTTCTGCCTTGAACAGGGGGTTGGGCTGGATGACCTTCTAGACCCCTTCCAACTCCATGATTCCACTATGCAGAGGAAGAACACTTCATTCTTAAGCCATATGATTTTAAGAAGACCATATGCCTGACAGAGACTCACTGGACTAGAAGGGAGAAAATAGGCCTGCTGGTTTGATGTCCAAGCCCTCTTTTAAATTTAGAATGCCAAGAGGCCAAATGACATTTCATTCCACTGGGAAAAAAAAGAGGGGGGAAATAGATTGTTTACAGCGTCCAGGTGTGCCTGTTCTACATTTCTGCGAAAGGGAAGGTTAGACAAGTTAGCAACTGCCCAGAGAAGCTAGATCGGGGGCACAGTTTTGAACAGCAGCCAGATCATCAGTTTATCTGATACAGCTCGCTCTCTCAGGCTGTTAAATACACTGCCTCTCTTTAAACAGTTCTTGGGATCTTTGAAACTATTGTAGCTGCTGGTGGAGATAGGAAACATAAAGTAATCTGGAATCTGAAGGGGCCAGTCCAGCTCTCACAACCGTACTCTTTTGCTTCTAGTACCCAGATCTCCCACTTCCAATACAGTGAAAAATATGGAGACCGCCTGTTCCAGATGGACCAAACAGATACAGCTTATGACACCAGTGACTGACAGAGAAATCACGGAGTCTCTGTGCCCATCCTGAAGAGCTGCCCTTGAATACTTATACAGAAATCACATGGAATACTTAAAAGCTAGTGGCCATCTCAGGGCCAGCTTGTTCATCTCTGACCAAGAAGTCTGCCATGCTGTGGGGCAAACGGCAGCTTCCAACACAGCAGCACTTCAGGATTTTGTCTGGCTTGCCGTAGGAAGCAAAACAACACGATTCATGTCAAAGGCTATTAGACTCATGAATTTGTGCTTCTATGAATCCTGGAATGCCCCCTTTGCCATTAAAAAAAGTATTACTGATTGTCAAAGCATGCAGGAAGCATGAAGGATGTCTCTCCTCCATGGCAGAGACTCCAACTCCTCTTTTTTTCCTTTTATACTTCTGATTGTAACTGCAGACAGCAACTGTAAACAGATTGTAACTGTAAGTCAGTAAAAATACCTTTTAAAATATGAAGTGCTAGTCATTGTGAAAAGGGGTGGGCTACTGGGACTTGAAGGTAGTCTTGCACACTTTCTCTGTGCAGTTGTTGTTTGTACCTGATACTTTGCTAACTACAAAAGGAACTAACGATGATCTCTAATCAGGTGGCCTGCAGCCCTCAAATACTTAGGCCAAAGAAAATGTTCTAGTTCCTGCATAAGGTGCATAATGACTCTGCTGTATTTTTACTGCAACAAACTAACTCTGTTGGAGTAGAAGGACTTCTGGCTGGATCCCTCGGGCTCTTCTTATTACTCACCTTCAACCACAGAGATTTGAGATACTGAGACTTTTTGGAAACCCAAGCAAACTGGGTAATGCTCCATCAAGTCTTGCCTTTAACTTAGACAGTGAAGAGCTAAGTGGATGCCTGAGAAATAAGAGTGCCCTGTCTCAAGATACCCACTTCTCTGACATTAGAGATGTGAAGCTCTCCACGTGTCCCCCAGCCAAGACGATGCTTTTCTCATTCAACCGGTTGACGATCTGGTGCACAAATCGCGTTGCTCCTGGTTTCCAGGTATTCTCCCCAAACAGAAGAACCACTCTAAGATCTGGATTATTTTTCAGGCCTGAAAACAGAAATGGAAAGGAACTGGATTAATCTGTGTCCTCCTGCCTTCCGGCAAGAATAGTAACAGACAAGACAGCTCTACGTTTTCAGTGTTCGGCTGGGTCAGGCTGTGTTTTCTGTGTTAATTCTCCCTAAAGGGATGAAGGAACAGAGAACACATCTCAACGGCAGAAGTGTTTCTAAAGGCTTGTCATTACCGTGGGCCTCCGGCAGTTTCTGACCCTTCTGATCCTGGGGGCTTTCAGGTAAACCTATAATCTTCCATTTTGCTGGCCTTCAGCCTTGGCAATCCTTTTTAGTAGTTAAAACACGATACGTGCCAGAACACGCGACAACGGCAGCACAGGAAGCGGGGGCCCCTTCCTCTGCACGCGAGTCAACAGCACACCCAGCGTCTCCAAGGGACGCAGCCAGGAGAGGGCTTTGGAAATTCCACCAAGTTAAAAAAAGGCTCGTAAAAACAAGTCTGACAAGTTGCCCTTTGCAGTAGAGATGGTCCAAGCTGGATAACAAAGCAAGTATGCCCTTTCGTTTGCGCCGAATGTCCATCGGAGGCAACATTCTTGTCTTTTTACTTTCTTTTCTTTCTTTTTTTTGGCCATGGCTGGTAGCTAGGAATGGGAGGACAGACTAGAAGGCCTGCTGAAACAAGGTTTTCCATGAAACAACTGTATGTTTAAAAGGTTCCTGCCCGGGGATGAATTAGTGCAATGCAGAATAGTTCAAAAACACCTGTCCAGAAAGCACCTTGAGGAAAGGAGGCTCAGGGGGAAAACAAGAGGTGGAACAGCTTTGTTTCAATTCCAAAACATCCCTACAAGGCTAAATTGGACACCTTAAACCTTGCGCAGGGCACAGAAAAGGACGTTTGTCGACTTCAGTGTCAAACAGATGAGAAGGGATAAAATGTGCCACTTCATCAAAGCCTTTCTTCCGAGTGGCCGATATCTTATACCCTAGACATCCTTTTAAAGGGCCTGCACCTATCGCTTCAGAGCAATATTGCTGGCTGCTAAATAGCTCCTCTGTTTAAAGAAAAACTTGCAAGTTTTTTTTTCAAAATCTTCCTTCCTTAACCATTTTGCTCCTTCTTCTGTTAAGACACAAGAATTGGGGAATAAATGTCACCCTACTTCTTTCAGAGATTTTTAAATAGACGGAAATACTTCCCACAAAGACTCTTCTCTTCCTTTGATAACAAACTGAACTTGCGACTGCAAGGGTCCAATCAATCTGAGACACAGAGGTTGCTCTCTCTGTTAAAAGCAGCCTCTCTCAGGAAGGACGACAAAGAAAAAAATGTTTGCTTAAATGAGTCATGCAAATATCTTTTTTATCTCTAGTGAGGTTTTACTGGAATAATAGAAGTTTATTTTATTATGAGAAATGATCCAACTAAACTGTATATATACTTTTAGTACTTTAAAATGTTAACCTTTTGCAATCTGAGTGTTTGCTGTTGTTTTTGTTGATTTGAAATGGTTTGAAGATTTTTCAATAAATTACCTACCTACCTACCCACCCCTTTAGTAAGATAAGGCAGTTCTTTCACCCTTCATTCATGCTTTGTAACAGATTTAAATTCTCTTTGTAGCTGCATAATATAGAAGTTTGAGAACCTTTCTGGCCCCAAAGAAAACATCTAGTCTCAGACAGTGGTGGGCAGGGACCTCACCTCTGTGTACACACACAAACTCCCTCGCACACTCATCTCTCCAGTCCATATATCTCTGTGCGCTCCTGCCCCACAACAATTCAAACTGACAGCCATTTGTCTGCTGCAGAAAAGCCTTTCAGAGTATTTTCTGTGCTATTTGGCACATGAAGACACCGCAGAAACAGACCTTGGCCAGGTTACACCCCAGAGATCTGTGGATTCACCAGGAAATGGCATGAATCCAGCTGCAACCCTTGTAAGTTATGGAACTGAGAGACACACACCATGAGAACCCATAATGTTTCCTTCTGAAATAATGCAAATGGAAAATTCGGCAAGTCAAATTAAGCCTGCTGATCTTCGACGTACTGCTGTCACCTTAGCTGAACCATTACTTGCCTGCTTCAGCAAACTGGTTTTCATCAAGTGCTCGAGTCTTCAAATCTTTAAAGAAGTGGAAGGTCTGAATCTTTACACCATCAATCTTGGGGAACAATAATGCAAAGCCAGCTTCACCTTCTTCTATTTCCAGGGGGCGGTTGCTCTGAGATCCTATCGGGGTGACTAAAGAGAACAAGTTAAGAGAAGGTGAACATGAACACTGGTTTTAAGAGAGTTTTGTTGTTTCTAGTCCATCCTCGATGAGTCTTGCAATAGTCTTATTTTTCAAATATACAATATTGAGATCTCTGTGCACAAAACCCGAAAGAAATGTTAACCAGCTGATCAGAAACCCAATTAGAAGGAATGGCAGAGACTCAAGATGTGGGAAACATGAGCTTCATTCACTTTAAAACTCCCCGACATGGTTTGGACAATCTACTATGTGCCCCTTTGCAGGGGAATATATTTAAGTAAGTGCTCCTTAGTAAAGTCTGGAAACAGATTGCACAAGATCTCAATATACATGACTGTATTAACGCCCACAAAAAAAAGCCACAAAGTAAATGAGACAAAGCACGCCCCGCTTTCTAGAAAATACAGTGGTGCCTCGCATAGCGAGGTTAATCCGTTCCGGATTAACCTTCGCTATAGCGAAACATCGCTGAACGGGACAGGGAAAGCCATTGGAACGCATTAAACATCGTTTAATGCGTTCCAAAAGGCTCCTTTACTCACCGTTCAGCGAAGTTTCCTATGGCCGGCAGCCATTTTCGCGCCCTCGTTAAGCGAGGGGAGGGCGCGAAAACACTGCACGCAAAAAGCCACAAAGTAAATGAGACAAAGCATGCCCCACTTTCTAGAAAATAAATAGAAGCCATTTCCCCACCACACACAAAGACTCTGTTTCTTCCAAATGGGCATCCTGTACACAGAAGAGCCATCGCTCTGGTGCAGAGCACAACCCACTGAGATGGGGTGGATCATCTCAGCAGGACCAAGGGTGTGATTTTATTTTTTGTTTTTTTTTAAGATTTGTTGGATCGCATTAGCGATCCCAAAAAAGGGATCGCTATGCGATTTCATTGTTGTACGGTGCGCTCGTTAAGCGAGGCACCACTGTAAACAGAAACCATTTCCCCACCACACACAGAGACTCTGTTTCTTCCAAATGGGCATCCTGTACACAGAAGAGCCATCGCTCTGGTGCAGAGCACAACCCACTGAGATGGGGTGGATCATCTCAGCAGGACCAAGAGTCTGGTTTTGTTTTTTTAGTTTTTTTTAAGATTTGTTGGTTCGAGAGCTGTACTTACAAGGGGCTGGCCTAAAGGACCTACGTTGAATTTCCAAAAATATATTAATGCAAACATTATGACACTGGGATTGTGTCAACTGAAGAGAGGTTGAACTAAAAAGTTTTAAAATGAAAAGATTCTTCATGCCCCCTAGAGGGCACAAGGAGATTTTCTTAGTGAGGCAAAACATATTTTAAAAAACAAAATTTGGGGGAGCTATAAAGAGGCGAGGAGAGTCCAACACAAGGGGTGCTGAATGCTGCATGTTAGCCTGCACACGGCCAAGCCCTGCCCTACAGCTTCTCCCCCATTTTCCAGAAAAAGAGGATTTCAGACAGCTTGGATGCCAAAGACATTGGACAGCGGCTGCCCGTCAGAGCATGCAAACCAGGTTAGCTGGGTGATGGCTGCATGTGGGCAAAAGAGGATTTTCTGCTTTCTCAGTCAAATCACACCGAGTGCAATGAAAAATACTTTTTTTAAAAAAGGAGAGAATCTAATAAATAGAAAATGCACAGAAACAACTATAAAGAAAGAGCTAAGGTGCAAAAAATACCCACACCCCGTTGACATTGGCTATTTCACATTAGGTGTTCAAGGTCACGCCAAAGTGACTCTGTCTTTTTCAAGGGAGCAGTGAAAGCCGAGTTGTACATATATCTAGCCACTAGGTTGGTTGGAGGTTTGGGAGGCTCACGGTCTGCACCAGAATCCTCTGCACAGAGCACAGACAAGGCCACAACAGACACACAGAGAGAGACAGAAAAACCAGGTCTGCCGAGAATTTTGGGAAAATAAACAACTTGCCTTTTTTTGTGTGTCAAATGGTGAAGGAGAAGGCCTACGACTTATTGTACCACAACTTCCAGAATTCCTGGCCAGCAGAGCTAGGGGTGAAGGCTTCGGGGAGTTTTAGTCCAAAAATATCCGGGGACCCAAAGTTGGGGAAACCACTGTTCTATAGGAAGGGTGCTTCCCCAACACAATACTGCTTTTGCCCAAAAGCCTGTGGGAAGTGTTTGAAGGGTTTGTGTAGTCAATCTGAATCACAGAAAAAACCTAGGATAACAGAACACCACCTCGTTTTAAGAAGGCAGAAGGATCTGTTTGCGAGTGTATACTAGCTGCCTAGAGTGGTCGCAAGTCCAGATAGGCGGGATAGAAATAAAATAAATAAATAAATATTCAACTTATTACTATTCATTTCTCTTACCGACAACTCCGGGCGCTACGAGACCCAGCACTTGGCAACGTTTCGGCAGCAGCTTCTCCAACGCAGCAGCAATCTCTTTACTATTTCTTCTTCGGGCTGTAATTGCAAAGAAAGCCAATGTCTCCCAGTGCAAACAAGGTCGCCGGGACAGTTGGGAACAATTTCTGTAGGAAGGACAGGACTTTCCTGGAAGGGAAGCTAAGCTGCTCAGAAGTGTTAACGGCTGGGTGACCTCTCCATCTTTCCCATGGCGGTTTTCCAGGAGTTTGAAAAAGTGAATTAGGTGATGCTAACACCCTGAGGACAGAAAAGGCACCAGGATTGAACCCTGTTTTCTTGAGAACGCGGTCACAAAATCTGACACCTCCAAGATCATAATCCCCAAAATGAATGGGGTCCTGGTCCATTCTGTTCAAAGTATCTTCAGGGTCTCACAGAGTCCCCCCCCCCTCCTGTTTCTGAACCAGGAGAAAGCTGGGGCTCCGAAGAAGCTTGCAACGCAGCAGGCACTCTCCCTGCTTTGGAAGCGTTTCCACACCTCCGTGTGTTCACAGCCTCCTCCACTCGCACTTGTCCAGAGCTAAGGGGGAAAGGGGTTGGCCTTCTTCCTGTTGAGACTCTAAGCAGTTCACACCAGAGGCAAGACATGGCATCCTTCAGAAGGCTGGTGACGAGCACAGATTCTGACTAGCACCAAGGTCCCACACAATACACCAACCTCTTCCATAGTATCTGCTATTGGAAGTCTAGCATGGCATTCACTGGACTGGACTGCAATTCTGTCACGCTGATAGTCCCTTGTCTTCTGGTCCCCCCCAGGGACAGCAAACAGGGTAAGCAAGGCAGAACAATAGCCCCCCCCCATCCTTACCTTTCTTCTGTCCATGACCACGGCTCTCTTCATGTCCACAGAAAGTCTCTGCATCTGCTACGTACAACACCGTCTGGGGGAGGACCTGAACCTTCTGTAAAATAAAAGTCATGATTGATGAGAACAGCCCTTGGAAACAGCATATACAGGAAAACCTTTTTTCCTGAGAAGAGCACACTTTCCCAGGAAAAGCTGCAGAAGGTGAATTCCTGAATTCCTTTAGTGTCTTTAGTTTCTCACTCAGACACACTGGAAGGCAGAACGTCATATGCTGGGCTCACAAAACATCATCCGATTTTTCACAGGAGTAACACAGTCTATTTAATTGTACCATTCCCTCTCAGAAAAACAAACTCACTTTTGAGAAGAATGGCAAGGCATTAATGAGTTTCACAATTATAGCAGGAGCCCGGTATCCATGGCGGATTATTTCCAAGCCCTCCACAGATGCTGAAAACTGCTGATAATAGTGAACTGCTTATACATAGCATGGTGAAAGAAAAAAAATTCAGAAAAAAGTATTTCAAATGTATTACCAGACCTGGCAACTAGAAAGGAGCCAGAGACCATGTTATGTATAAATGGATCATGAAAATAAGTATTTCTAGTCCCCCCCTTTTAATATTTTTAGAATGTGGATAAGTGAAAATGCAGATAGCAATCCCGCTGACACAGTGGTCCCACTGTATAATTTAACAGTAGGAGCCAGAGACCATGTTATGTATAAATGCATCATAAAAATATGTATTTCTAGTCTCCCCCTTTTAATATTTTTAATATTTTCAGAATGTGGATAAGTGAAAATCCAGATAGCAATCCCGCTGACACAGCGGTCCCACTGTATAATTTAACAGCCACCATTCTGTTTATAATTTCACAAATATTATGTACTGAACACAGAGGCTTTATCTCTCTCTCTCTCTCAAAACTTGGTAACTCAGCACAATGATTTACACCAGCATTCCTAAACCTACTGGCCCCCCCACATGTACTGAACTACAATTCCCATTATCCACAAAGAGGACAACCAATTCTAGGGAAGGCTAATCTAGAATGTGTTCTTCAGCAGTTAAGGCACAACATTATAGAAAGATACCATTATGGGTAGCTCCATTAGAAGCGTTCTCTGACCCAGCAAGAACATCTGAAGGGACAAATGGGAGATATGCCGAGATATTAGATAGTGATTTTAATCAAAAAACCAAAGATGAACTGGCAGAACAGAGTATTATCTTAGATTGGTGGTCAATAAACTTGTTGAAATCAAGATATGTAAAAGATAAACTCAGAAAGACAGAATACCTTTGGATAAGGGGTTGCTGGACTCAGAGGAAAAATTGATTAAAGGTTTATATAATACTTTAATGGAGCAAAAAAAATGGAAGGATTGCATGGCAAAATGGGCTTAAAATATAGGACATAATATAGAACCAAGTGCCTGGTCACAAATTTGGGAACGAAATATTTAAATGACTACATCTATAAATCTAAAAGAAAATATATACAAAGTGTTTTACAGATGGCATGTAACACCAGAGAAATTAACAAATATGTATAAATATGTTTCTAAGTAGTGTTGAAAATGTGAAAAGAAAGCAGGGAGTGTCTATCCTATGTGGTGGATGTGCCATAGGGCCAAGGACTTCTGGAAAAATGATTCATGAAATGATAAAGAGAAAATTTTAGGGGTTAAAATTGCTCTGACACCAGAAATTTTCTTATTGAATATATTACCAGCTACACTCAGAAAAAAAAACTTCCTTGACCTTACACCTGATATCTGCAGCTAGAATTGTCTATGCCAGTAAGCAGAAGACTACAAAGGTGCCAACAAAGAGGGAATTTATTGAGAAGATTTTGGAACTAGCAGAAATGGGTATTTTGACAGATACACTAAATGACAGACTGGATAATAATAAGTGGGAACATCTTTACACCTGGATGAAATCTATACCAGTTAAAGTAGATTAGATTAATATTATGTTAGAGAGCAAAAGATAAGATGAAATGAATGGAACATATTGTAATAAATCACTACGGTTGCAACAGATAGAAAAGTAGCAAAATACAATAAAAATATTTATTTAAAAAAATAGAATGTGCTCTTCAGTTAAGGGTTCAGCGAGCTTATTCCTAGGTAGACAGACTGGAGCCCATGATCTCATGTCTTTTAGCCACCAACATCTCAGTTCTAACACTGCTGCCTATACCGCAAGAAATGAATGCAAAAGGTCAGCTTCTCCCAAACTACAAACCCTTTAAAAAACATCTGAGCCTATCACAAAAACTAGTAAGTTATAGGTTTCAGCATGATATGTATCCTGGTATCTGAAGCAAACCTGGCTGGAGAGCTGAGCAAGTTGAAGCACCCGGCTGTAGAAACCAAGGACTGGGAATTTAATTTCCTGCTCTGCTTCTCTGGAAACCAGCTACCCTATGTGGCCTTGAGCGAGCTACACAGTCCTAGAGTTCCCCCCAGAAGAAGGGAATGGGAAACTATTTCTGACAACTTTATACCTAGAAAATAGTGAGACGAGTCACTATAAATCAGAATCAACTGGACAGGATGCAGTTATTACTATTGCCCGAAACCAAAAGTATAGAGTTATTCAAGAACAAACAGGGAGGTTGCCTTTGAATTTTAAGGGGCAACAGTAACACATACATGGTGTTTCTAAGATTTCTAAAAAATTTGTATACCTGTCCAAATATTTACCTCAAGCTCTTCTGCTAATGCATGGACCAGAGCGTGGCTATCCGATGGCCCCGATTCTACAGCAGAGACCCAGGCGACGCTCTGTTGAGTTCTGAGGATTCTCCGGGAACACTCCCTCCACAACCGGCACACGCTAGGACACAAACAACATCAGGATCGCTTCAAACAAGGGACCCAGCCATCTCTTTAGGAGAGCTGGATACACGGATGGAACTCCCGTGGCTTTGCGTATTAAGTTGCAACCAGATTAGGGCCACTGAATCCACAGCACTGCTCAAGGAGTTGACTTACCAAATCCTCACACAATTAGTCCTACTCTAATTGTGACTTACTTTAAGCAACAAGATTTTTTTTAAACAATTTTTTTAAAAAATTAATCTTGGCAGCCAGGAAAATAAGACACAAGGCACGGCCCTCTCCTCTTCTCAAAAGTATGCAGGGTGATCTCGGGCAAGGGCTGTGTTAGAAATGCCGTTTAGGTCTTTCTTCAGCTTCCTGAAGACACAAGTTGCTTGAGGAGTCTGTGAAGACTACTGGGGCAAAGAGCAAGGAAGAGTGTGGGTTGCTCTTGTGCAAAGCCAGAGCAGTTTTACATACACACACACACACACACACACACACACAAAACCCACCACAAAAACGAAACGCTGGCAGCCCCTTCAAGAGGAACAAATGCATTTCAGAGAGAATGTGCATGGGATACAACCCATTTCTTTCAGGCACATGCATCAGAAATGCACGATCAAGGGCGCTTTTCTATTGCATATGTTGTAACCCAACCAGTATATTGACCTTTGGGTAGTGTGGGCGGCAAACAAATTAATTAATTAAATAAATAATAAAACCCACCACAAAAACGAAACACTGGCAGTCCCTTCAAGAGGAACAAATGCATTTCAGAGAGAATGTGCATGGGATACAACCCATTTCTTTCAGACACATGCATCAGAAATGTCCATCAAATTTCACTGCAAAATAAGCTTGTTAAATCTTCCTTTTCTGCCCCTGTTGAACCAGACCAGCGCGGCTCCCTCCCTCAAACCTGTATGAGGAGGTTTCCTTTTCTGTTTGTTTATCTTGTTATCACAAACGAGTGCAAAGAAAGAAGAATACAAAGAAAAAGAAGGCAAAAACCACAACTCTTTTTAACTCAAAATATACAATAAACATCAAGCGCACCCCCTCGACCACCAGGGATTTAATCAACTTTTTACTTCATACACAGTGCCCTGTTTCTCTCCAAAAGTAAAGTAACTCTCGGTCTGGAGCGTTTCCTTTCCCTTTCTCAAGGACATGTGCTAAAAAAATAAAATAGATCTTTAAACAGTGTACTTTCAATATTTCTTTCCAGATATTCAGTTCACATGTTAATATATCCTTCACAGCCATCTTCGACATTTCCTTATACCGTTCCTCCATGGTAAGAATCCTATCGTTATTCATCCAGTTCCTTGCAAAGGAACTTGCCGCCGTTACCAAAACAGTAACTATTTCTAATTCCTCCCCCCCACCCCAGTTTAAATTGGTGTTTCTAACTAAACATGCTTAACAGCCACCTTTTACGAGGTGGTTTCCAAAAGCCTCATCCAGTTCCTTGCAAAGGAACTTGCCGCCGTTACCAGAACAGTAACTATTTCTAATTCCTCCCCCACCCCAAAGTTTAAACTGGTGTTTCTAACTAAACATATTTAGCAGCCACCTTTTACGAGGTGGTTTTCCAAAAGCCAGGCGACCATTACAGGCCTCCGTGACCCCCGGCCATAAGCCAGGCGAGGGTCCCGTCTGCCCGCCCGCCGCTCCGCGAGTCCCAGCCGTCCGTTCCCCTCCACGCCCAGGCCAGGCCCCCGAGACCCGCTCTCACCAGGCCGCCCTCAGCAGGGCCTTGGTCGGCAGGAAGCCCAGGACCCGCTCCACCACCTCCGCCAGGTTACTCAGCACGTAACACCCTTTCGGGTCGGGCTCCATAGCAACCGCAGGCCTCTCGTCGGTCGCCGAGCAACCGGCACAGGCCAAAGGCGGAAGGGGGAAAAGCACCCCAAAGCCGGAAGCCTGGACGCCTTCCAAGTACGTCATCGGTACTCGACAACCATAGAGGCGAGCGGGAAGACTGTCTCCGCCGAATCAATGGCCGTGAGACCCTAAAGCCGGCGCCATTGGTCGAGGCGCTATGACGGCAGCCGCCTTCTGCCGCTTTGCATCTCGGGGGCGAGCTCTCTCTGTGGACGCTGGGACCGGAAGCGGTCTGTGGAAGACCGGAAGTCCGATGAACGTCGTGCTACCTTTTATATCTCTATCGGCACACTCTGCGGTCAATGGTTATGGGAGTAATGGCTCTTAAAAAAAAAGGTGAAGGAAAGGATGAGATGAATGGGGTGGAGCTCGAAGTGACGAACCAAGGAACGGAGCTTTGGGACGTTACTTTAAAAAAATGGGATTGCAGCTCCCATAATCCCCCACACTGTGGGGGGGAGTATGGGATTTGTAGTCGAAAAAAAGTATCTTGGGGTTCGGTATAGATGAGAACTAGCTATAAGAAAAGCGAACTTCATGTTAGGAGGAATTAGGAAAATAATGAAAAAAACCCAAAGTGTGAACATTGCAACCTCCTTCTCCAAACTCCGGTGCTCAGGACACTTATGTAGTTTTGGTGACTCAAAATGGGCGTTGCGGGCAGAGGAAGATTGCCAAAATGGCCAAGCAAAAGGATCTACTAGGGGCTTTCATGATTAAGGATGGGCTACTCTTTGGGGACTCTCTAGCTTTGGGTTGTAGGTCGTGAGCAAGGGGTGTAATGTAATTATGGATGGCATGAGAAAGGGGGCAAAGGCTGGCATTTCTTCCATAAATCCAGAACCCTGAATAGAGGGGACCTGGTCTCACATATGTGCACACACACACACACCAGTCCCAAATCCATCATGCTCCCCCCTCCGCCCCACAATTCATCCTGGTTGCTAATCCTGTATGTGGCATTTACTTAAGTGCTTTTATGAATTTTCTGGGGCAATGGAAACCCAGTGTGTTGCAGCTTTTGCCCTCCAGGTGTTCTGGGAATTTTAGGAAAGTGATGAGGGCGAGTCCTGCCTAATACTGTACACAAGCTTCTGCCACTCTAGTTAAAGTCAACACCAGTGTTCAGAAAACACCAGCTCAATAGAGCTGTACTAAAGAAATTCATTGAGAGCTGGTGTTAGATATTCAGATAGGAACACAGCCATCAAACCTCACATCAGGATTTAAGGAACAGATCATTTAAAGAAAGCATAAGAAATCTAACCCCCAGTTTCATTCATACATTCTGAATGCCTGTCATTTTTTTAAAAAGTTCTTCATTTTATAGTTATTTAAACTATGTACAACCTGGTCTCACATATGTGCACACACACACACACCAGTCCCAAATCCATCATGCTCCCCCCTCCGCCCCACAATTCATCCTGGTTGCTAATCCTGTATGTGGCATTTACTTAAGTGCTTTTATGAATTTTCTGGGGCAATGGAAACCCAGTGTGTTGCAGCTTTTGCCCTCCAGGTGTTCTGGGAATTTTAGGAAAGTGATGAGGGCGAGTCCTGCCTAATACTGTACACAAGCTTCTGCCACTCTAGTTAAAGTCAACACCAGTGTTCAGAAAACACCAGCTCAATAGAGCTGTACTAAAGAAATTCATTGTTAAGAGCTGGTGTTAGATATTCAGATAGGAACACAGCCATCAAACCTCACACCAGGATTTAAGAACAGGTCATTTAAAGAAAGCATAAGAAATCTAACCCCCAGTTTCATTCATACATTCTGAATGCCTGTCATTTTTTTAAAAAGTCCTCCGCCCCATAGTTATTTAAACTATGTACATATAGATGTTATGCAGCAGGAAATATGCAGGCATGGTATTAGTGCTGGAGAGATAATTTATTTTGATTCATATTTAAGAAACTATGAAATACAAGAGGAATGTCCCTTAAAGATTCTATGGCTGTAAGAACTACAGGCAAACTTTGTTATCTAATCACTACATTAAAATGATCAACAGAGGTAGACTACTGTATTTTTAAAACTGCATGCAAATATTTTTAGAATATACTAAATCTCAGTAGGCATCCTTCAGTCTCGAAAGACTATGGTATCGTGCTCTGTATGGAGGACTTGGAACAGCGTCTAGTGTGGCTGAGGAGGCCAATTCGAGAGTGACAATCCCTTCCACACTGGAGACAAATCCAATCTGTCCCCTGTCCAGCTCCCTGGTTTTGCTTCCTTTGTGACTTCCTCTTTGCCTCAGCCTGCTGGACAAGGGTCTCTTCAAATTGGGAGAGGCCGTGATGTACTGCCTGCCTCCAGGCTGAACGATCAGATGTCAGAGTTTCCCATCTGTTGAGGTCATGCACTTTATTTATACTAAATAAAGTATAAATATATAAAGTATTTATACTGTTATATAAAGTATTTATACTGTTCATGCACTTTATTTATACTAAATAAAGTGCATGAAAAATACTACAGCCATCAATACAAACCCTCCCCAGAAATATTCACCACAAACAGAATTCTTAAAATTGTTCTTTATTCATAAACTTGATGCAAGTTTACAGATTATCGTACACTGCTAAATAATTCTGCAATGAAAAATGAAACTCAAAAAAAAAAAGCAAGCCAAGTGTGCACCTGTCATTCTGCTAGTCCATTAGGATAAGAATTCAATAAGGTATTTGGAGTTTTAGCCTCAGGATTTAAAGAAGCTATATAAAAGTTTACAGAATGTGTCCTCTGACTTAAGGCTGCTAACTGGATTTTATAGTAATAATATGTACAACCAAATAAGCAAGGAGAGTGGAAATCATCCACATTTCACTCCCTGAAAGACTGCATGAGTCTTCAGCGAGGCAAAATCTTTCTATTCTCCTCTTTCAAGTTCAAAAGCAGCACAAGTAACCAAACGCTTGAAGCTACATGCTTGGGTGTCAAAAGAAAACATTATTCTTATTTTTATTGGAAGGGCAACAGGGAGAGGCAATACATCTCTGGACTTCTCAACTTTAAAAAGTACTTGCGCCTTTATTTCAATCCCTGTGATCACAAATTTCTACACAAACTCAGCTACCAAAAATTAAAAACCACACCTGATCTTTTTTTAAAGGTAAGGCAATGATCATAGCAGTTACCGATCCACAGCAGTTACACAACCAGATTCCTGAAAAAGGAAGAGCAGTTTCCCATTAGTTTTTCAACAAAACTACGGTCACAACTATGGCAATATTTTCCCCAAAAAACAAAACCACAACCCTCTGAGTGAAAGAGTTCCCTGGGACTTCTTACTATCACTTTGATTTAAATGTTTTAAAATAAAGGAGTGTCTTCTTGACTTTTGCCATTGCTTTTTAAGTTCAGACTTTCGGTTTCCGTTGTCAAGTGATTGCAACAACCCGTTAACAGAATTACACACTTAAAGAAGTTTTCTGTTTAAAACAACTTCAAGGATACCTATGGCTCCTTCATGTGAAGGAGATATAATAGCCAACTAGGAAGAAAGGAAGAAAGAAATCGATGCCCCAGTGGATATGACTAGTCACACGATTCTATTGGCACAAACTGGCTCTGCTTAAGCAGCGTGACAACTGGAGAGCATTTCATATGTCCAGAAACAGTTCATATTCTCAACCACAGCTGTCAGGATTTGGGGAGGGGGGGCGGAGAGGAGGTGAATGATTTAACATTACAGTTCTCCTACATATCATCATTCAAATTGGCAATACTAAAAACACTTACAATTTTAGGTTGAGGCAAAAAACAATATCCCAGATTTAAAAAGACCCTGAAAACTTGGCAACATATTATTATAAACTAACTTTATTCAACATGGTTGGCTTTAAATAAAATATATTGCAGTCCTTTGCAGTCTGGAAAAAAAATTAAGTGCATACAAAAGGTGGTGGCAGGAAGTTCCTATCTGTCAATATTTTAGTAAACCAACACTCCAATTTGAAGGATTTACACTTTAAAATGTAGGAAGATTGGTATCCTTATTCCACGGGGATGATACAGTAGAGTCTCAAACTGTTCAAGAGAATTGACAGAAGAGCAGAATTGTATGGTTGTAACTTATACTGGATGCTTCAGTCAACAGATCATCCACTAATTATCTATCAGCTAGAATCTTCAGTATGACTGTTACAGAGGCATTTGTAGCTTGAATCTTTTGGAAGGAATTTGTAAAATTGACATTGGTCCAAGTGTACAAGAATTCCATAACATTAGCCATCTTCTTTTGGAGGTGTGAACCAGCCTGCAAGAAATATAAAGAAGAGGATTAAGCACTAGTAAGTGCCCAATAAGTGATGTAAGTGATGCCAGTGTCCATTTGTAGATGGATTTATATCTTATAATCAGTGACATTCTACATTTTCAGACTCTTGAGTTTTAAAGAACCCTGTTCTACAACTGGAACAGATTATGCAAAAAAATGGCTTTAGTCAACTATTGTTTGTGTGTTCGATCACATGATGTTGGGTCTGAGAACTAGTAAATTAACTTTCCATTAGCCGGTTACTCAAGTTTTAAATGTGCTTTTATGTTTCCAACTCAATCACTCCCATAATCATGTTTTGGGGGAGATACAGAAATATGAATTAATTTCCTACAAACCCAAATCAAGTCTGCCATTCATAGTTAGAATAAAATAACCTATTTAGCGCCCCCTGGTTTAACACATCAAAGCCAAAGTGGCCTCTAAAAGATAAGGGTGCCCTTAACTTGCTTCCCAGTAATCAATTCATCTTTTCAATTAATCTACAGATTAATCTGCAGCACCCAAAGGCACAGATGAGAGAGAACCAAATTTCCAGGTAGCACTCTAGGTATGTGAAAACACCATATGGATAAGAGGACAATTTCAAGGGAGCAGCTTAAAATGTACTGTTTTGATCTCTCTTCTAATGTTATACTTACAAAACTATGTGTTTTACCACACAATACATACATACCATACATACCATTTTTCTCATGTAACTGTACTAGAGATTTATAGGACTGCTGTGCTCTTGCTAGATTATATTGGTTCTGGAAGGAAAACAGATTGTTTAAGTATTTATCCCAACAATGACAAAAATACAGGGGTTGCGCAGAGCTTGTACTACCAAAATCTGAAACAATCCTAGAGATCCATTTGACCCTGTGACACAGTACTTCATGCATGTGACTTCACCGTGACTGAAAGTTCTGAGATGGACGGTGGCATCATCGTTTAGCAGCGTCACCTGAAGGGTATGTGTCAGGAAACCTTGGTGAGCCCTTGCCCCTCAGCTGGCCAAGCACAGACTTGGATGCGGCAGAGACCAAATGTTTGTTTACACTTCCTCATTTGTGGCTAATCATTATGATTTGGGCCAGTTGGGCAAAGGGGTGCCAGAGTACTCTTGCCAGGCATCCCTCCTCCATTTCCCCCCACATCTGGAAAATAGGTAAGAGCAAAATTCGATGCAATAACCACAGGTCTCCGGGTTTCCCATTAGTTCTAAGCCAATGTGGGATTTTATCTGAATAGTTAACAGGGTGAGCGAGGAGTACTAACCCTCTTCCTCTCCACAGAGAGGAAACTGCATGAAATTATTTATAAAATATTATAAAAACAAGTGCTTGTCATCTGATTGCATGTGATCATGGTCAGATATTCTAAAATGCTGTTATCATTATTATAATAGACATCTGATAGCTACAGCAGGAAGAAAGGCCCCTTGTTTCCTCCTACTGCAAGAATGAGGAAACACACACAGACTTTCAGGCATTCCATCCCAATCCAATCTAAACATTTTAACTCTGATATTTTGTACTTTACATGGACTGTTTCATATGAATTAATATTCCTTCCCTTTCCTTCCTTTAAGAAACTGAAAAGGGTGGACATGGTCTCCCCTCCTCCCTATCTTTTCATCCTCACAGCCACTCATGAGGCTTCATGGTTTACAGGAGACAATGAGGATGATGACCCTACCAC